AGAGAGAGAGAGACAAAAAAAACAATACCACATTGATACTAATATAGGACATGTATTATCATCGATAGATAATCTTTGATACAGTTATGTGATAATTTTTCCTAACAATTTTCATTTTAGCATTTATCACTTTTTAAAATCATATTTTGCAATATATGTGTTATAATAATTCACTTATGATTCTATTAATAATAGATTTATATGTATATATACATGAAAAGCATTGGTACAAAAAAAAATATTTACAATCGAGTGAAAAATTGCATCAAACCATAAATATGTACTATTTCAATTTAATAATTTTTAAGCTGCACCTATATTTATCAACTTTAATAAAGTATTCTATTAGAGGTGACAATAAGGATAATAATGAATATTTAAATAAAGTTTTAAAATATATATATATATAATATTGCTAAATTCTTATATATATACTAACTTGCATCACGAATTCAGTTTATTTCTAATAAATCATATGCACGCATGTGCCGATTAAATGGAAAGTTGCACGCATACATGTTGATATAATAAATAGATAAATTAAAAAATATTTTGTTACATCTTATAACGATTCATTTATATAACGGAAAAAGATATTCAATGTATACAATATAATGATATTAATACATAATATAAAGTGCAATTGGATCGGTATCAAGTACATATATTTACTTGTATATTCTTAAAATTACTTTTTTGAATAAATTTTATAAATTACAAAATACATAACGCTAAGGTATATTTATTGAGAATGCGTTTCATTTGATCATGTTTGCCATTTGATTTTTCATTTTAGAAAAATTGCATCATTTGTAACAAATTATAGATCATAATAGTAGAAACCTACAAATTTCAAAGTACAAACATAGTATAAAGTTTTAACTACAAAAATAGATACACGCTTTTTCTATTTACTATCCGCTTTTTGTTTCTTTCATACTTCCACTCTTTTTTTGTTTCGCTTCTATTTTCATTATATTACATTTTTTCATAGCATTTTAATATGTTGATTTAATGTGAAAAACTAATTTAATAAGACTAATTACATCTAGTAATTTCCATCCTATTCGACATAATATCCAGGCCAACTTGATCACTTGATCCTGTATTTACCATAGAGGTTACAGCGATGAATTATTGCCTTCTCTTTCTCCTCTTTTTCCGCTTTCAGCATTTAATGTAATGGATGATATAACAACTGTGTAATCGTTCAACTGTGATTCTATGTTAAAGAATCGTTGATAAAGCAAGACTTATTTTTTTTTTTTACATTATTTTTAGTTCTCAAGAAAATGGATTACTTTTTCTCTTTAACGATCCAAATCGTTTCTCAGGTTCTCTGATGACTTCAAAAGGCGCAATTTTTGTATTCCTAATTTGTTTTTCTTCATTCTCATCGCTTGGGAAATCTTCGAAACTCATGTTACTAAAACCAGCGGCTGTGCTCACTACAGAATATTTCTTTATTCTTGAAGTTTTTTTACTGTAACCTATCGATTTAGTTTTGTGACTCAATCTCGATGATGATAATATATCGCTAACATCATTGTGATTTTCATTGATTAAACGATATTTCGCTTTCTCTGATTTGGTAAATTTATCTCTTTTATGCCTTGATACATCATGATCATCGGTAGCTACCAATGGCTCAGGTGACATAGGCGAAACAATATTTGGTATAATATCTGGTTTCGATACACTATTCACTGTTTGAACAGTAATTCGTGCAGTATGTTGAACCGGTTTAATAGTATATACCTCTTGTAAAGTAGATGTAGATTTGATAGTAGTGGTAGCATCTGGTGATAGTACTTTATTCAATAGTAATGTATTGTCCCCAATTGATCCGCCAAAATTCAGTGGCTGTGGTTGCGGCTCCTGCGTCACTGATCGTGATGATGATGGTTGAATAAATGGAATCTGAGTTTCATTTCTCTTTTTTAACAAGTCATATTTCTCTTTTTCATTCAATTGTAGATATGTAAATTCATCAAACGGAACAGAACCAAAAAGATCTTTTGAAATATTCGCAAATGTATTCGAATATTTGTTGCTCGCGGAAACATTGTCAAATTTTGAATTTGGTATTATTTTTGTAGATGAGGAGACAACGGTAGCTTCTTGAATATTTGATGAAGATTGTAAGGTACGAATGGAAGCAAGAGATGACTGTTGAAATTGACTGTTTATTACAAAACTATTTGGACTAAATGGCGATGAACCAAATAAATCTTTTTCTATATTTTCTTCTTCTTCTTCTGTTTCTTTTTTTTTTCATTCTCTTTCTCATTTTCTTCCTCTATTTCTTCTTTTTTCCCTATCCTATATTCTTTTTTTTCTTCACTTTTATCTTCTTGTCCACTCATCTCTAATCTTTCTTCTTCTCCTCTTCCATTTTCTTCCATTTCTCTCTTCTTTTGATCTTGAATAATGTTTCTTTCTCTTTCAAAATCTCGATGAGTTTTAATTAAGGTTATTTCAATCGATGATCGCTGATTATTTTTTTCCAAAAAATCAACATCTATCTTTTCTTCCGCAACACTTGTATATTTTTGATATGAATTACACTTTGAAAGTGATTTGCTTTTAAAATCTGTTGATTCCTGAGATGAAACTCTTGAATCAAAAATAATGGGAACTATATTTTTAAATTCATTGTTCTTTTGACAATTATTATTTTTTTTAAATAACTGGATGATTTTGGAAAAGGAGCTAAAGCAAAAATATCTTTTTCAGATTTTTCTAATAAATTATTTAAATGTTTCATTTTCTCGTTTTCTCTTTCTAACGAATCTATCTTATTTAACAATTGAGAGTTTGAGTCATATTGATCATCAATAATGAATGGATCACCATGAAAATATTCCAGTTTCGATTCTGAATCGAGTTCATCATCCAATAAAAGTGGTTTTTCTCCGTATTGATGTCCAACTATTGGATCTCTATTGGCTGACAATCGTTGTCCTCGATAATATTTTTTCGATTTCTTCGTTCTGTAATCTTTTTCATTCATAATATTTTTTTCCGAATGTTGAATGGAATTGCCATAAATTTGTATATTTTCCGAAACTGTTTCATTTTTTTTCTTGTATTTTTCATCATTCTCACTATCGTTGTCTTTATCTTTTTCATTCTCATTCTCATTATCATTATTATTATCATCGATATCATCGTTATCTTTATCGTCATCTTCATCATCTTCGGCGTCGTCGTTGTCATCATCATCATCATCATCGTCATTATCATCATCTTCCTCCTCGTCTTCTTCATCTTCTTCCTTTTTCTCATCTTCCACTTCCTCCTCCTTTTCTTCTTCCTCTTTCACTCCTTTGTTTTCTTCTTTTATTTCTTTCTTTTCTTCGTCCTCTTTTCTTCTTTTTTCTTTCCCTCTTCCTCTGTCTCATCCACATTATCTTCATTTCCAATATTGCTTTTTTCGTCACTTTTTCCAATGCCATTAGATTTAATAGTGTTATTATAATTAATATGACTATATAAATTATCGTTAATCGTTTTAAAATTATTAGCTAAACTTATTGAATCATTCGATTCGTTATAATCTTGGTGCATGGTGTTTTTCGTATTTTGCACTTTTTTCTTCCGACGTAACACATTTTTGACCCTTTTTCTCTTTTGCTTTATACGCTCTTGAGATAAATCTTTATCACTGTCACTGGATATATCACCAGCGTTGAATATTAACTTTTCGTATTTGGACCGATTCTCTATGGGAATTCGAACAAATGGCGGAGAAATAGGATTGTTTCCTGTTAAAGGCATCATTCTATGATCCAATTCAGCTCGTTCGAATCCTGAATTCCATTGTTTCGAAGGTATCCTTGATCTACCATTTACTTGTAATTTGCCTGAAAAAAAAACGTATCCGTAATTTATAGGATTAAATATTTTTTACGCAATAAACGGAATTTTATACGATATACGTCGATAGTTATTAACTTTTGTAGATATGATGGCGTATCGATTTGTACAATATCATAATGAATTCGATAAAATTTTTCAAAATTTTCATTTCGATATAATAAACGAAACAAACGAAAGGAGAGAGAAAAAGAAAAAGAAGAGAGAGAGAGAGAGAGAGAGAACAGTAGTAACAAAATAATTGATATTTCTTATCAATAATATATTCAATATATATCATTATATTATATTTATATTATATTATAAAAGTTTCTGTTTAAAACAGTTGAAACTGTTGTACTGAAGCTATACTTACCTACGATATACACATATGAGTACTATCACGAAATTATTTGATTTAATATCATACATTTAAACATTTTAATAACTTATCAATATCAACGAATAAATTTTCCATATTTTCTTTCTTTCTATCCATATAAACAAATATTTGATATATATGTATAATTATATTATATAAAACAGATAAAAAACGTTGCATCATGTCTAGTCGCAAAATTTCTATTTTTTTTTTTGAATATTCGATATCTATTTTATATATGTATTATTATTGTTGTATTAAACAATCCATTATTCTTATCACGAAAAAACCATTCAAATATATTTTTATCAATATACTGTATTTTATTCTCTGTATTTCTAAATTAATATCTAAATTAAATTAGAAAAAAATAGAGATATCTGATTAGGTCTGTCACGGTGCATTGTACTTCTATAATATTTGAACGCTTAACATAATTTAATATGTACATAATTATAACATTAGATATATTATGAACTATCAATATTCTTTCCTTCTATTTCTTCTTCCTTCTGATTCTAATCTCAGCTTCATTTTTGTTCTATATACAGTTTGCTTTTTTTAAATATTTCATATAACATTGGTTAATACCATCACCGCGCTACATCATACTAACACCATATGGTCTGGAACAGTCCTAATCAGATTTAGGGGTTTAAGGATAAAAACGCAGTAATGATCTTTATATCAAATTAATATGATTCAAATAGTATTTTATATATATATATACATATATACATACATACATACATACATACATTGTGGCATAGAAATGATTATTTTTTTAATTAATTAAAACTTAAGACACGAGATAATATTTTTTCTCGCGTCGAATCATTCAACGGACAAAGAATTGCTGCGTTTTATGTATTCGAAAAAAACAATACTCCATACACCAGATATCAATGTTTATGTTTATTGCTGTAACATTGTTTTAATACAGCGAATATGGGATGCCCAGGATTGTCGGCCTCCTATGGTGCTCACGCGTCGCGTTTATTAATTCTGATTCAAGTGCACATATAGTGATTTGTTACCTTATTATATTGTATGGATACCTTATTATATTCGAAATTAAAATATTACAACAGTAACAAATTGAATCATAATGTGTCATCGGCAACCTTCGTACAAGAATCTTATATTTTATATGTATATGTTCAGAAGACACGGAGACACTATGGAAGGCAAACGACGTAGGACAAATATTGATATTTCGATATTTCTTTACAAACGATAAATTGTGAATGTATCAATCAAAAAACGATTTTTTATGCCTCCAAACTCATTAGGGTGTTCCAGACAGTGAAAAATTAAATATAAATATATTAAAAGATATCGATTAAAAAAAAAGAAAAAAAAAAGAAAAAATAGAAAAAGAAATGAAAAGAATCTTTATTGCCTTTGATTTTTAATAGCAATAAAGTATCTTGTCTCAATAATATTTGAATGATCGTAAGCTATTATTCTATTTACATTTTCTTAATCAATTGTCAATACATGAAGACATAAAAAATAAATTAGATATTAGCTTGTTCGATTAGAATCATATGCGTACATATACATGATGCAAGATATACATAATGAAATATTTGACTACATGAAAAAAAGTGTTTGATATTTTGTTGAAACATTTTAATTATAGAGGAACAGAAATAATAAAATGTAATAAATTATGATGGAACTACTGAATATTATAAGAAATACCACATAAATTGTAAAGAAAATAAAGGAGAAAATGAATAAGTAAATTAGTAAGTAATTAAGATTAAATTAAAAGGAAAAGATTAATGAATGGAAAGGAAAACAAGAAATTAAATGAAAAGAAAGAGAGACATTATTCTAGAAATAATAAAAAAAAAGGAAAAAAAAATTTCTAAATAAAAGAATGAAAGAAACAGTAAGTGAATACTATAGTATATAAATATTATTATATTCTTATATATATATATATACACATTTTACTTAAGTTAAAAAAAAAAAGAAACTTATTTATTTTCACTTACTATTAATTGCATGTTACCTATTTTTTGATTTTAAATATTTATAATTTATCTTTCCCATTTATCTACTTGTTGTATATTCAACAAATGATTAATAAAATTAATATAAAATAAATGATAAATTATGATGTGCATACTATTGTTGATACATTCTTGAATTTATTTAAAGTGATTTAGTTTTATGTAATTGAATTTAATTTCTTCTAAATTTTATAGATCAAACTTTGTTTAATTCATAATCGATGGATCACATCATATAAATACGTACATTGTTCAATACTACATATATAAATTATTTTTGGCATCATTATTCTTAGAACAATTCATAATGTATGTGTGCGCATATATACACATATCTATTATATATTGAAAATAATATAAATTTCATTTTCATATTTAATTTTACGAAACTAATTTTATGAATTTATTTTAATTGAATAATCTGTCCATGCAACTATATCTATAACATGCTATTCAATTAAGATTATATTATGATCACATTATTTGAATATAATGTGTACAATTTGTTAAAAGGAATGAGATAATTTATGTTACAAGAAATGAATATTGCAAAAACACATTTACTTTATCTTATTTCCATAATAACATATATTTCTATTCGGAATTTCTCAAACTTAAAATTCAAGTTATATGAATTAACATTGAAAGTATGCTATATGTACATAAATACGTACATAACTTATTATTTTGTATGCCAGTTTCTTGATATAAAAACCAATTAAAGCATGTCATAACACATATTTTATGAACAATTTATAATCAATATAATCAATATAATCATAAAATTATTTTTAACGTGAAATATCATCTTATTACCAAGTATTACAATATTATAACCATCATTTATTCAATTCTTATATCCGTAATCTTTTAATGTATCTACAGATATACAACCACGAGAAACATCATTCCAAGTGTATTATTTAATAAACATACGAATATAATACAATAATACATCAGATAGCAATAACGATATCGCAAATTTTTTTTTCGATAAACACAATAAAAGAGTGAGTTTAAATTTCAATATATTAGGTATGTAATATTTTTTTTTTATAATTGAAATCTTTTCAAAATAACAATCGTAACCTGTATTTCACAAATATCGAAATCAATTTTTCATTCGTATACAATAATTATTGATACTTTATCAATTGTAATCTTTACAATTTATACACAACATGTTTCTTGTCCTTTATGTATATTGTTTTTTCTTTCCGAGGATTCTTATTCTGTTCCTTCCTATTCTGTACAATATTTTCTACCACCCCTCTCCTGTTTTTTTTTTGTATTCATTGTATATGATAGAACGTTTATTAGAACTTATTCCTCTATCTTTGGTCATCATTAAAAGCATATGAAAGTTAACTGACAATAATTTTTTATTTTTAGTTTTTTTTATCTTTTTTTTCTTGTTATAATTATCATTTTTCATATTATAATAGCTCTAAATTTTGCAAAAATTTTGTATACATTATTGTTCTATTATTCCATTCTGTGCGTCATGACTTAAAAACAGAATATATGTATAATATATATATATAAATTCAAAATGATGAAAAATAATGTTGATAAAACAAAATAATGAAATTTCAATCACTGTTATAATTCTTTAATTTATTTATGTTTTTTTAATAAAATGAAATCTTCTCTTCTATCATTATCACAGGTAACTCGATCATTTTTCAAATCGAAAAATCGTAGTGTAATTATATAAGAATAATCATGCACAATTGTATTACTGTGATCGTCTACAACGTACATAGAATAAGTTATTTTGTATTATTCTTTTGTTTCAAACTTTTAAGCACAGATAAAATAAACTGGCATTAAAGTTTCCTATATATCATTCATTCTTAATTCTAGTAAATTTGCAAGTAATTAGTACATAATTTTAAAACGATCTATTTAGGAACGTAATTTGTAATTCGCTTTTGCAACTTTTGTTTCTGTCAACGTATCAGTATATTATTTTATAAATTATATTATTCATATCACATTAATCAACATATTGAATAAGATAGTTTTACCATCTTCGACAAAAATCTATTTTAAAAAAGTTACTTGAAAACTTAGGAAGAATTATGTAATCTGAGTACACTACGTAACTATGACTTGATGGAAAATGATATAGAGAATGAGAGAGAGAGAGAGAGAGAGAGAGAGAAGGATGGAAAAAGATAGAAAAAAGATAAAAAGAAAAGGAAGAATACGAAATATCGATTATGCTTAATTCATCTAAATACATTACGTATTATTTGTTAAATTCTGCTGCATATTCATAAAGGAGAAAAAGGAAAATGGAATAAGAATGTATGCGAAGCAGTCTATGCATTACCTCCAGCAAGTGCAGCAGTCTTTGATCCAATTTTGTTCTTCTTTCCTGCTAAAAATTACAAACGATAAAGAAATGTCTTTTAAAAATCATCATCAACTAATTCAATTAATTAAATTTAATCATTCAAACGCACTTACTTGGCAAACTAAAAGGTGCAGATTCAAATGGATCTTCTGGTAACTCTGCATATGTCATAACAAGACTTTCGCGACTTTTTACACCACTGATACTTGCATTACTTCCTCTTCTAATTTTATCAAATTCAGCACCAAAAATATGATCTTCTGTTAATTGATTGAAAGGTTGTACATCTTCAAATGGATTCCAAGCTGCTACATCTGCACTTAATGATCTTCCTTCAGTAGCAGTTATACTTGAAAGTTCTCCCTGATTGGAAATATCATAAGTTTTTTTAATAAATTTCTATAATAAAATATAATTTATTGTCCTATGCATTTCTAATATGAGTGCTGCACAGAAAATAAAAACCATAAATTATATAATTTAAAATATTTATAATTATCACAAACTTAAATCATAATGGAATTATATAAAAACAATAAAATATTTATAAAGATTGTTTTAAAATAAAAAAACAAAGATTAAACAATGTGAAAATAAAATTAATATTAAAGAAAATCATTAAAAATCAGTGCACTTTATGTACTTACAATACGTACATGCGAAGTGCTTGATCCTAGACAAAGCCTTACACCAGTTAAAACTTCAGGAGTACTAGCATCTTCTGAACGTGATTTTACTGAAGCTTCATATGGTGCTAGAAATTGTGTTGTTTCGCTTGCAAATGCTCTATGAATAACAAAAATGCTTTGTAAATTTTCGTAAATTAATTTTATGAAAAAAAAAAATTTATTACTATTAATATATGTTATATGTATTTAAAAATAATCAATAATTATTTTGTACATATTACATTTATAAAAAAATATTAGTTATATATTTTATATTTATATAAATGTTCTATAATTTATATGATATAAAGATTCTATGACACAAAATAAAACAAAGATAGAAAATAATAAAATTCCATTAAAATTATCTTCAATAAAATTAAATTCATAAAATTTTTTCAAATACATAAAGTTGATTCGATATAATTGGATAATTGATAAATATATGTATGTGCATAATATAATAAAAAACTATTTTATATATAAAAACAAATAAATAATAATAAAATAACATGTTTTTGTTCGAGATTTTCAAAATAATATAATTAAATTAAAGTATTCTATTAAATTGAAATATATTCCATCAATAATAAATTAGACTATACATATTCAATTAATTCTCAAATTAAATTTTTTTTTAAAAATAATGAATAATAAACGTTATTTCATTATTCTGATTTTTTATCTTATTTTGAGTCATAAAATTTTTTTGATTCTATTTATTAAAAAATACCTTATATATATACGCGCGCGCGAGAGAGAGAGAGAGAGAGAGAAACTTACTTATTGAAAGCACTTGTATCACTAACATTTCTTCTATGACGTACAGAAGATAATGTTGGACTATCAGGTGGAGAAGTACTTGAACTTATATTCTGACTCAAACTCTCAGTTTTATTAACTGGTTTCGGTAATGTTGGTACCATTACAGGAGTGGCTTTATTAGGCCCAGTTGGAGTATTCAATTTCGATGTTAACGAAGTAAGAGGTATATATTTAGGAGGCGGACAATTAGCAGAAATACTTGATATTTTGGGCAGAATTTTAGGTTTAGGAGCAACAGGTGGTGGTATTTTTGCAGGTGGTGGCATAGCTCGACTATCATCTTTAAACGGATCTGGATAACCTGTAAATAGAATGATCTGAACATATATACTAATGAAAGAAGAAATTTTTAGGCATAAATTCTTACCAGATGGTGGAAATAGCGCTTCTAAATTTTCTTCATTTATATTTGTTGTCAATGTTGAATCAAAGTATGAATTTACTGTATCTTGAACACTTGCAGGAGATCGTCTAATTGTAGAACAATGTGATTGACTATATTGTGATTTTTGAATTTGCGATTGATGTCCAAAAGAATATTTTGACTAGTTGTACAAATTTGCGGCGAAACTTGATTAAGCGCTGAAACTTGATGAGAAGATGCTTGCGTATTTACTGGTAATGATTGAACATTTGATTGCATACTTTGTCCAACATAAGTTTGAGATGTATTCAATGGAGCAAGTTGTTGACCCATTTGAACATATGAAACTGTATTTCCTATAGAACTTTGTGACTGAGCTTGGTTTCCTTGACCCGATATTTGACTTACAATTTGACCACTTAAACTAATCGGACCTGTGCTTACAGCTTGTCCTTTTGGTCGTTGTCTTGGCGTAACTGACGTACCCTCAACAGTAGTTACTGGAATTGGTTTTGGTGTTTTTACTAATGATGATCTTTTAACATTTTCAGATTCCATAGGAGGGCATGTTAATGATTCCAGAACTGGAATTGGAACTTTCTAAAAAATAATAAATATAATTGTAAAAATATAATTGTAAAATATATACATGTAGTTATATATATATCCATTTGTACATATTTATATCATATTTATAATTTACATAAATGAAAATATCTGAAAATATCTAATAGATAGTCTTGCTATCAATCTTCAATTTTTTCTTTATTCAATTAAAAATATCAATTCACACATCACACATATCAAATATATTTATAAAGAATAATTAATTAATAAATATATGCATATACATACATGTAAATTCTGTACAGGACATTCTTTACCCAAAATTTGGAATGCAATCATAGATACTTGATAAATATCGGGACGATTATCAGAATCCGGCTCAAGCATATAACGAATCAGACAATGAAGATTTCTACTATATCTATATAATATAAAGTATTAATCTCATAATTTTATTATATGAAATAAAGAAATTAAAAATAAAATAAATAAAGAAATAATGTATAATGAACATATATATTAAAAAAACTAACCTTGAATGATTTGGTATCGTAAAATTTCCCGATTGAATAGCAAGTGTACTTTCCCCAAATGGTAATGCAAAGAAACAAAGTTTGTATAACAAACATCCCAATGCCTAAGAATTTACGAAATATTATTTCTGCGAATAAATTTTTTAGATTAAAAATTTTTAATTTATTCTACCCATATATCTGCTTTTGTTGTAATAGGTTTTCCACAATACATATCAACCATTTCAGGTGCTCTGTAACTGAGAGTTGTATATTTTTTAATTTCTTCCTCAACTATTGCTGCACCATGTACACTAGGATTAAGAATTTTTGCAGTTGCAGAACCAAAGTCACACAATACATAATGACCAGTATCAGAATATAATATATTTTCAATCTAAAAAGAATGTTAAATAAATAAACAAATATTATTACATTAGTAAAATATATAAAAATTATATATTATTAAATTAAGTCTGAATAAAAACTAAAATATCTATATAAATACAAACTTTTAAATCTCTATGTATTATTGGTGTTTGACAATGATGTAATCGAGATACTGCTTCACAAACATCACAAAATATTTGAAGAACTTCAGACTCACTAAAACCAGTTTGTAATCTGTAAAACATTAAGTTATTATTTTAAAATTTTCTTCTATATATCTTATATAATTATTGAAAATTCTTTAACACATTTTTAACCTATTATTCATCATTTGTAGAACTTGAGTCTTGCAATAAGGCATTAAAAGTAGAAGTTCGTGTACTCCTCCTCCTATGTTTGTAATACTGCTATCCAAATATCCTATGATATTTTTATGACCATTTAAGTTACTCTAAAAATAGAAATAAAAATGTAACTTGCACAGAATCAACAAGAATAAATAATTTTTTATAGGAAATCTTTATGGAAAACATAATTGTGATTTCTAAAAAGATATATAAAACTTACTGCGATTTGTATCTCTCTTTTACATACATTGAGATCATGTTCATTATTAACATACATGCGTTTAAGTGCATAACGTCCACTTGAAGATTTTACCAGGAATACAATAGCAAATCCTCCTATAATAATATTATTAAAAATAATTATAAAATTATAATATATTTGCCAAATGTTATCAATTAAATTTCTTGTGTTAAATGTTCATGTATTCAGATATTTTATATTTTAAAATAATTTATTTTTATTCAATTATTTGATTAATTTATATATAAATTTTGAATTCTTAAAACAAAATTTTAAAACAAAGTAAATAAATAAATAAAATATATTTTAAAAAAGGAATTCTTTATTATAATTTTATTATTATAATTAATCGTCAAAATATTGACGATATCAATACTTTTTGACATATATATATATATAAAATATATGTATATTATATATATATATATATAACGTAGGTGCGCGCGCGCGCATGTGCATGTGTGGGTGCATCATATACATTTATTAATATAAGTATTTGTTCCAACTCAAACATTTCAGATGTCAAGCAACATATATTATTAATTTTATTTAAGAATTAATAATCACTTTAGTATATTTAATTCGTGATTCATTATACGATATCAAATATCAATTTACTTTTTATAAACAAGTTGTATAAGAAAAGTAAGAAATGATCAAGTATACAAATGAAATGGAAGGGGTGATGAGTATTCAAGGTTGATAATAAGACGCACCTTCAGCTAAAACCTCTTCGACAGTGACAGTATAACGTCCTACCACGAAAACTTTTCCTACGTAACTGTTAGGCTCCTTCGACGTGTTTTCAATTTTTGAAAACAGCTTCTTCATATTAGCACACGTCGTCGGCCCTCTCAGTGTTGAACTGACTTGACATAAGGCCTCCTTTACTAAATTTTTTAATATACAATATGGCGAGTTTGACTTAGTGAATCAATAATATATATTATATCTCTACTTCCCAACTTTTAAGTTACAATAGCTTTCGTAATAATTTAACAGCAATGAACTTAACCAAAGGAAATCGTTCTAGTCATGATAACAGTTAACGTATTTTACCCAGCCGACATATTCAGGCCATACGAACTGCGCATGTACAACTTTATAGAAACTATATCGTAAACATATGTGCACAACTTCCGTTTGAATGTCAACATTTTCTCATTTCTTCAATTATTCTTCTTTTTAAATTAAAAAATTAATTTCATTTGTAAGCTCTTTACGTATATTTATTTTACAGAGTCTTTAAAATAAATTACGATTAAATATTATTTAAACATACAATTTTTATTTTTTTCCGTATTGATTTGTCAAACCAATCAACATTATGATTGTACAATATATTGTGCTAGTGAAAGAACAGTATGTGTCAAACGCGTTTTGGAAATTATATCGATATTCATAATATATTTGCTATGTATATACATTTTTAAGTGTAAATAATCTTAAGTGTAATTAATCTTCATTAAATCTACAAAAAGTGCATAATATTTTATTCGTTCATTTCATTTATTTTATTTTCTGTAATTAAAATATCGGAGTTAAAATACCAAAACTTAACGATAAACTTAACGTCTTTCAATAAATACATTATTTTTCATTAATGTCTTATGGATATTTAATATTTTAGTATATATACTTTGTTAATTAATAATAACAAAATATATGCTAATTGTAAAATAATATCAAAGCAATAGCTTATTCATAATAAACATGTTATCCAATGAAGATAATGATGATAATGATTTAGTCAAGATATTATTATTAGAAAGTATAATATCGTTCAAATGTGAAAATGAAGATCAGTTTGAAAATACTTCTGATACAAATAATATTGAATTAATTATTAATAATTCAGAAGTATCTATTAAAAATCAAAGAAGTATATTGGAAAAAAAATATGAAACTGAAAATGATTTTATGGAATACAATATTGAAAATTATAACAATACATTACATTTTAACAGACAAATAGTCTCTTCTTTGTTGGATTTAAAGAAACATGTAACCTTTGCACTTCAAAAATGTGAACGAAAATTAAAAGCAATAGAAAAAAATTTGCAAAAACATGCACTTGGAGATACAAAAATTTTAATTTGTAATGCCGGTATGCCATATTTTAAAGATAAATATTATTTTTTTGCTCCTAATAATGAAGATGAGATATTAAAAGAAAACAGTAAAGAATTACAACTAAGAAATCTTCCTAAAGTTTCTTCATGGACAAAAAAAGAAAGAGATATGCTTTTAAAAGCAATACAAAAGGAAGCCATTTCAGATGTATTATGTATTCAAAAATTAGAATGTTCAAAACTTAATAATAAAATGTTCAAATTAAAAACTAAAAATGATGATAAGAAAGAAGTAAAAACAGAATTTCTACCTAAAAATTTTTTAGAAATGATTAAATCAAAAAGATTGCAAGAAAAAGAATTTGATTGGTTTAAAATATCATCTACTTATTTTGAAGATATTCATTCTCCACTTGATTGTTCTGTCATGTGGAATGTTTTTCTTCAACCTGACATTAATAAAAGTCATTGGACAAAATCAGAAGATATTAAACTTAGAAAAATTGTGAAAAAATATAAATTTCAAAACTGGGACAAAATTGCTAAAGAATTAAATACAAATCGTACTGCATATCAATGTTTCATTAGATATAATACAACAAAAAAATTACCCAAAATTAGAAATTGCACTTGGGAAAATGAAGAAGATGAAAGACTTTTGAAATTAATAGAAATATTTAAAGTTGGTGATTTTATCCCTTGGGGTGATGTAGCTAGTTGGATGCAAAATAGAACTAAACAACAAGCATATTCCGATGGACATACAGTTTAACACCATATTTAATAAAAGGTAGATTTACTAAAATTGAAGATAACATTCTGAAAGATGCTGTCATCAAGTATGGTACAAATTTTCGTAAAATATCAGCTGCATTAATGCCTAATAGATCCACTGTTCAGCTTCATGATCGTTATCAAACACTAACTATCAATCAAATTGAAAACTGGAATTTATGGACATTTGAAGAAGACACAAAATTACTTAATCTTTTTGAGAATATTGGTCCAAATTGGTCTATGATAGCTAAACAATTTTCATGTAAAAATAGAACTCAATTAAGACATAGATATAAAGCTTTACAAAAATATATTAAAAGAGGTGTCTCCTTATTTGAATTACATAAACATCATTTTTATGAAGAAAATGAAAAAGAAAAAGAACAAAAAAAAGAAGAGTCTTTTAAGGATATTTTTAAATCTAGTAATAATATTGATAGTAATGATTATGACAATGATTTGGATAAAAAATTAATTGAATATTTTCATACAAGGCATAAAATAGAAAAATTGATACATAAATGCAAATTTCGTAATATGGAGAAATTGCAATATAATACAACAAATTTATATAATATTTTACAAGTATTAAATGCCAAACTTTATATACCAAATGATATCAGTGACATAAAATTAAATGATAGGGATCAAGAACTATTATATTCATTAAGAGATTTTATAAAATTAAAAAATGATAAAAAAAAGTACTTTGAAACGATAAACAAATATATATCACGCATGTTTGGTATGAATGAAACTAAAGATTCACATTTTGTACCTCCACCCCCTTTTGATTCACAGATAAAATTAAAAAAATCAAAAAAAAGTCAATGTATTGATTATAATTTAAATGCGAAAAATAATTTTTTGCTTGAAAAACCTACAAATTTTAATACTCCAGATATTGTAATTTCCTATATTGGTGGCAATGAAGAGGAATTACAATTTCAAAAACTTAGTCGTTTATTTGAAATTAATAATGCAAGATATGAACAAATATTTAAAACTCAAAACTGTTCTAAATTTCCAACAAAAATGCTGTTACAAGGACATACTAATAATGATAGTGATAAAAAGAATTCAACAAATGATAGATTATCAGAAAAAGTGGAATCAATTACTCTTTTTGACATTGATACATCTCTTGAAAATAATAATGTAAAATCTCAACATATAAAGTTTCAAAACAAATGTTATAAAAAAATATGTATACAGACCATTCAACAAGATGATATATTATTTAATAATTTTAAAGAAAAACATTTTTCTGGTACTGAACATGATACATCTATGATATATGCTAGTCATGCAACTTTATCAAGTTTCAAAAATTTAATGTATTTGAAACGATTAAATGAAAAATATAATCCTAATAGATTTTTTATACAATCACATAAATTTTATAAAGTATTTACTTTATTAGAAACACGATTAGAACAATTATTTAAATATCCCATAGGTTTATCAAAAATCGTTTTGCCTGAAGTTTATGTAATGGATACATTCTTATATAATGATATTACACCAAAAAGAAAAATTTCTAAAATATCATGTACATTAGATAAACATAAAACAAAAAAATTAAAAATGTTAAGTGAAAATAATAAAAAATTAAGATGATAAAAAAATCAATTTCTTTTTTTCATTTTTAAAATATAAATGCAAAATCTTTTGTTTACATATGTAAAATATACTACATAATAAAATAAAACGAATCTTTTTCCATTAAATCAAATTACATTAATTTCCGAATATATAATCGAAATTTTTTTTATTAAGTTTTTATAAGAAAATCGCTGTCATCATTTTATTATATTTTTAAATTACTTCAAAAAATAATATTATAGAAATCTAAATTTTTTAATATATTTATCAATGAAGTTTCTAATTAATTTCATTTATAAAATAAACAAAATATATTTCACAATATATTATATATATTTATATTGCAAGATCATAATAATTCAATAGATATTTAAAAAAATATACACAAAAAAATAAATATTAAGTTATTACTACTTATTTTTTTAAATGAATATAATCTTAATTTATTGATTTATGTAAAAAGTAAAATTTTGCATGCAATTTGCTGTAATAAGTAATATACAATATTAACAAAATAATGGAGAACAATTATATTTAAAATAATAAACAAAAATTTTAAATATATAAAGATGTTAAAAGATATTTTGGTAAATTTGATATAAACATCTTATAATATTTTTGATAAGAAATAAATGATATATTTTCCTAATAAATTCATTCTTTTCCTTTCTTTTCTCTTAATTGATATTTGTGATAAATATATATTACATATTATAAAAATAAAAAAAAAAAGAAAGAAGCAGAGCAAAAAAGTTTATGTATTTGTAAAAATGTACTATATGCATAATTTAAGAAATAATTTATATGCACGATACAACCAAACTTGATTACATTTATACACAAGCACATCTTTTCAAATGTAATTGATTATGAATATTTTTCACTGAGAACGTTAAAAAATGAAACGAATAATTACTTTTTCTTTAAAACTGAGTTATTATAGCTAGTTACAATAATTGTACAACCTGCTGTAAAAACTCCCCACAAAAAAAGACTAGCTTCAATTTTGTGAACTAAAGATCTAATACTATCAAGGAATAATTTTAGCGGTTCATTTATTACTTTGTAAACTGGCTTATCTTGAATAATTTTCATTTTTGATAAATATTCAATGAGTGGTGGATGATCATGGCTAAATATTGGAAAATATTCTCCGATTTTTTCTCTTGTCCACCAAGCTTGTTTATTCCATCTAATCAAAAATAAAATTAATAAAGTTAAACATTAAATAATCAGAAACATAAGAAAGAATATAAATACATACGATTGACTCCATGGAGTATAATGATAACGATAAAGACTCGCTTTAATATATCTAGGTGGTTTTTCAGGAAACGGATTTTCTACATTATTCATTAAAGTTAATATCTCTGGTTGACCTCTCAAAAGACGATATGCTAATGACATTAACCATGGATTTTGATGGTATGTGCCCAATGCAGCAAACCACATTTGCCAATCAAGTCGCGGTTGATGAGGAGCTGAAAACAATATGATTAAGAAAAAAATTTTAATATCAAAAATATTAAATAATATTGAAAATGTTTTAAAAAGATATAAAATATAAAATATTGATTTTTTAAATTACCCACCAACAAATGGTAATGAATTATTAACATTTCCTGGTTTATATAAAAACTCATATTCTTTCCATGGACCATCAATATTATTACTTCCTTCGATGATAACTTCCAATCTACCTTCTACTCCAGTCATGCGTCTGAATAATCCATAACTATTTACCAAATGAAGATATTCTACTTTTCCTTGCATCTGTCTTAATTGAATTGGTATTGTTGAATTATATGTATGATGTAAAGTAGCATAAGGTACCTAAATGTAAAAATATTATATAATATTAATATTATTATAATTAAAATTTTAAATAATTACATGTATTACATACAATACTTATAGCAAAAACAAAACAAACTGCTGCTGTATAAAAAATCGTAACGAATGTTGCAAAAATCTTATTTTGTATTCCTTTAATAGTTAATAAAGAAACAACTATTGCATTTGCTATTGTAAATGCAAGGGATACTACACCAATGTGAATGGAAAGTGGTATTGCGCGTGATAACATGTAATCAAATTGTTCTTGAGTAAATGCTAAAATAATACGAAAGGTAATTATCAAGAAGAATATTTATTATATTTGGTATTGAAAACATATACATACCAATATTACTTTGAATAGTCCAATTATCAGATAATCTAAGATTATAATATATATATGTTGCATAAAAAATTCCTCCATAAACTAAAATACATAATATTGTAGAGAAATATTTGATAATATTGTAAGAATCATTTTTAGATTTTCTTTTATAGAAAAAATGATCATCAAGTAAAGAGATGCATAAGCATATAGTTAAGAAGTTGAAAAAATTATAGTTCCCTGTAGCTATAATGTGTATTTGAAGAAATACCTAGTTAATCAATATAAACAATTAAATAACCATATATTAAATATTAAAAAAAATAAAAATATTGACTTTATTCAGTACATATATTACCTGTGTATAAAATGCTACTATTCTCACTTTTCTGTTTGGAAAGAAGAACAAAAATGGAATGACGAGTTCAATAATATTGACAATCACAGTAGTAAAACGTAAAAACCATGTTGGTAAATGATGTGCATACCATGCTAATGGAGTAGGTATACATTGCGATTCAAAATGTATATTTAAAGCTGAAAAATTATTGCAAAAAAGAATAATCTTTTTTCATTTGATTATGATTTAAAAATATTTGTCAAAATATTATACCATCTAATTTCCACCAAATAGGACAACCAGAAGTAAGTTTCACTACTCCGCTAGAAAACATTAAACGAAAAAGTAACCAACGTACAGTCCAAAAAGTTACAACATCACTTGGTGTACTTATTTTTCCACGTTGAGAATAACAAAATGGTGCTACTAATATACATAAAAATCCTGCTTCTAATAAAAGTACATCCCTATAAAAATATGCAAAAATATCCATAAAACTTGTTACAAATGATTAATTATTGTATATCTTTCCAATTCTTATTTTATAATTACAATATAGTATTAATTATATGTAATTTAATACAATTAGAAAAAATCAAAATCTGATACATTGCATTACATGTATCTGAATAAATTGATTTAAAGAATAATGAAATTTACTTAAAAATTAATTAATTAATGATTTATATCAAATTAATCTAATATTACTTTATAATTTATATTTACTTTATATTACAATATATAATATTTTCATAAAGACCAGTAGTATTTATTATAATAAATATATAAAATATAAATATAAAAAGAAGAGATTAATATCAAAAAAAATTAAGATTTAATACTTGCCATTGAAACCACATAAATGTTTGACCAATTTGATATAGAGAATAATACAATAACCAAAGTAATGCAAATACAAATGCAATACAAAATTTCTGTGAAATAAATCTGAAAATAATCATCATATATATATTATTTTTAATATTTAAATATATACTATAAATTTTAACAATAATTAATATTACCCTACAAAGGAAAGAGCAATTCCTATAAGTGATAATACATCTAGCATGTATTCTATATTCAATCCAAAATAAGGAGCAAACCACAATAATGTTGGTTTCTGTCTCAATTTTTGAAATAAGGGTGTGCGACCTTTCAAATCTAATTGAGTTCTAGCTGGTAGAATTCCATTATCACCATATAATCCTTTATCATAAAAAGAAAAAGATAAATATTTGAAAAAAATAACTTTCGTTAAAACAGTAGCATTATAGATTTTTATACAAATACAATTTTATAAATATAAAAATTGAACACTTTTAATTTTTTACATTTACATTTGTATTTACCTGGAATTTGAATATAAAAACTAAGAAACGCAAAAAGATATATAACACATATTCCCCGTAAAAATAAATTACGAGTATATCGAACTTGAACCATCGTAAATTGTTATACTTTTTTTACTATATTTTAAAAGATTAGAATATATTCGAATGTGATGCTTAAGAAGATCTGCAACACGAAACAATATACATGTAACACATACTAACACATGTATATAGAAGTTATAATTCGAATTTTAATTAATATTTTGAAATGTTTTCTTAAACATTATTATTAATGAATGATTTTAAAGAAAATATCGCTATTTTAGATAATTATTCTAATAAAATTTCTTAAAATAACAAAATATTATTTACCAAATAATTAACTAAATTCGTAACCTTTATTCGTAACTATATAATACAATGTTCATGCAATTATCAGATTGTGATTGTTTCTTTCTAAATATTATACGATTTCATTTTATATCACATAGTTGGCAAAGATTATCTCTTATTATAGAAGTAACATATTAATATTTACATTTATTTAAAAATAAATTCAATATTTTTGCAAATTTTTTATTTTAATTAAATTGTCGAAATATAAACAGACATTTTAATAAAATCTGTTTACATTCATCGTTTGAATATTTGAATTCATTTTTTTTTTAATCAATTATAATTTCAATTAATGTAACTTTATTATCTCCATTTAATAACATACAAAGAAATAATGAAATTGTAATAGAGTATAATGATTAAACATAAACAAATAGAAGGACTTAGATATAAACAATTCAATTAAATAATATATTGTATCATAATATACCATAAATATTAAAAATAAGAACTATAAAAAAAATAAATAAATAATATATCATTTGCATCATGTACTACATCACGTTTTCATTTATAAGCAAAAATTTCAAATCATATAATTCTAAAGCATAATTAATTTATTTCATTTCATTATATTGTGCTTCCATTTCTACAATTTTTTTTTAACTGTTGCTTTTTATTAAATTCCTCAATAAAATTCATAAATTCTGTATGTTGTATGTTATCTGAATTTTGAAACTTTTTCTTTTCAGTCTTTATCCATTCTTCAATATTTTCTGTTTGATTAAAATAATAGTAAACTCCAATAGGAAATAATATATATGACATCATTCTTCCAACCTCCATTTGCCAATTTCCCATTTGTTATGAATCTATAAATACAATAAAACACACACATATATACATACATTATAATCATTTTTATTTGTCATACTTGTTTATTTACTAATGATCTTAAGTACATATATTTTATTAAAAATATAATAATATATATAATTATTATATAATTATTATATTATATAATTATTATATTAATATATACTTATTTTTAAATAAGAAAATTTTTCGAATTCTAAAAACGATAGAAAATGAAATATTTGAATAATATGAAAAGAAAATAATGAAATAAATATATTCAATAGAAAAAAATGTTTTTACATTACTTTTAATAACTAAAAATCAACATCGTACCTATAATATAATTAAATTTATAAGAAACTTTTTCCACTTTTCATCTGCTTCAAAATAGAATAGATCGCAATATGTATGTCTGTTATGAATTACTAAATGGAGAAAAATAATTTACATACTATGTAATATTGTAGAGTTTTAATGTTGGTAAAATTGTTTCGTAGAAGATATTCTATTTAAGATTCGTTTTAAGATATTATTTTAAAATATTTTTCATACACGTTCATACTTATGTTTTGTTTCAAAGATTCTAAAGATGACCGTAACTTTTCAGTGATATATTCAGACTTTAAATATCAATAAGCATTATGGAAACATTATTACCGTCGGAAATAGCTCGATTAGTACTCGGTAAGAGTAACATGACATGTATTTTGCGCGTCGTGTTTCAATAACCTGTTGTATGGCGGGAATATAAATACTTTCTGATTATAACAATGAAATATTAGAAAGTCAATATTGTCTTTATCAATATATTAAGATATATTAAGATATTAATTTTATTATAATAATTACTATTATAATAAATACAAAATATTAAACTAATAAAAAATACAAAAATTATGTAAACGAGTAAATAAACATTGAATAAATAGATATTAAATATAATAAATATAATATTATAATAAATAACATTTTATTTTCATAATTTATATATTCATATATATAAATATATTCTTTATCTTGAATATATTAGTACATTATTTATTATTACTTTGTAAAGAATTTTTATATTTATAAAGTTTTTTTATATATGATTTTTATGAGATTCTAATAAATAATTGATTTTAGGATACCTTGAAAATGAAAAATGTATAGAAGCTGCTAAAATGTTTTTAGAAACCTGTCCACATTTACAAGAATGTCGTACTGTAATTTCAAATGGAAGACGATTTAGTACAAAAGTTAATGGAATGACTTTGATAGATATTATTGAAAAATTTTTTACTATTAATTCAACAGGTAATATTTAATAAAAGTTTAAAATTCATAAATAAGGAAACCTATATTTAATGATAAAATAATAAAATAAATAAGAAAACCTATAATTTATTAAAAATATATTATGATTTATTTGTAGTTCATGAATATCTAAGCAAAATTGTTGATTATGAGCATTTAAAGCAATGTGGAGATCTACTTAATGAGTTGAAATTACTGACTGGTGAAAATTATGGACATTTTCCTTTTAATATTAATATTCTTTCACAGGTATATAAGAAACTTATATAAAAATTCTATTAAATTAGAATATAATATTAAAATATATATTTTTTTACTTATTTTATATTTTAATTCTATTTTTTGTATCATTTATTTATTTATTTATATAGGCTAATTCTCAGATATGTAATGGCTCTCCAATAATATCTAGTAGCACTCGTAAAAGACATCATAATAATAGTGATCGTGAACGATGTAAACGTACGAAAGTAACATTAAATGTATCACAACCTGATTCACCCTCTGCTCAAGGTTGGAAATATATACACATATATATCAATATATCTATTTTCAATATATTATTTTTCTTATTATTACAGCATCTAATTTTGATAGTGTAGAAGCAACTCCATTGGAAAGTTTACCAGGTCATATGGACATATTTGAACATTCCAAATCTAATATTAATATTAAAGAAAAGAAACATAGTAATTCTTTGCAACATCAAGGTCTGTTTAATTTATTTATATAATTATATAATTGAACTATATAGAATTATGAATAAACAATATTAATGTAGAATGTAACAATAATAATGTTGAATGTAACATATATACATAATCTTCATAAGACTAAAAGAAAATAGAAAATTTTATTTAATTCTTAATACTTGAATTAGGTAGTGATAAAAATATTCATATAGAAGATGTTACAAATAATACACAAACAGAAAACAATTCGAAAAACTTGTACTCACTTGATAAGTGTACTGCAGCAACAAGTACGGAAGAATTAATGAGTTACTCGTGTGTAGAAGTTCAGACTACTCCATATGATACACCAGAATCCGAATCGGAGAGTAATGATGAACCAATAGAAAATCTAAGTGTAAGTAATACTATAATAATTTCTATGTCAATTATTTTCATAATCTTTATGTTTTTTATTATCTATATTACAGCTGTTAACAAAAGAGCTTTTGAATCGTACAGAATTACAAGAGAGAATTGCTGAGAATATTAACAAAGCAATACTTCCAACAGATACATCATTAAAAGATGAAAGTTTAAATGATTCCATGAATGGTGAAGCAAATACTTCTATTATGATAGAATTAAATAATGCAATTAAATCAATAGTAGAGGCAACAGAATCTGATCCTGTATTTGAAAAATTTCTTGAAGAAATCATTGGGCCACATATGGAAACTGATACAAGTCCTGATGAAGATACTGAAACTAAATCAAAAACAAGAATTCTTAATGAATTACAAGAAAAACAAAGTGAAGTGATTTCAAACAATAATAATTCATTAGAATCTATAATATTAGATGCTAAATCATCCACTGAATTAAATGCAGCAGATGTTCCATTAAAGCATAGACTTCGTAGTTCTTTTAAACAACAAAATACTCGAAACGAAGATGAATGTGATCAGGAAAAAGAATACGGTATATTAGAAGATCAAAATGCTGCTGCAATATCAAGTATAATAAATGCAAATATTATTAACAAAAAATCGATAAACGATAAGAAAATTGTAGATACAACAAAAGAAATTGTATGTTTGCTAAATAATGACAGTGAAAAAGAATTGCCAATATTTGAAGTTCCACTTAATAAAGATACAGAAAAAATTGAAAAATTAATAACTAATGATGTTCAAAAAGATGATACTAATGTTGTTATTCAAAATAATGATATGGAATCAAAGATGAAAAAATCATCGGTAAAGCGATTGCGACTTACTACAAAGCTTAAACAACAAAAACCGGAAAATAACATAAACAATTATACAGCTGAACAAGATGTAATGATAATGCCAACGTTAATAATGTGTTCTAAAGAAGAAATAAGCAATATATTGTCGACAAATTCTTATCCATCTACTCGTCCTATAACATCTAGTACAAATTCACGATTCATTCCTATTATTCCTAAAGAACCCATGACTAATAAAATGGGTAAAGATTTCGTAGAAACACTGTATCTAAGAGCCGTAAATGTTGCTCAAAGAGTAACATCACCACATACGCACACACTTTTTAATACGTCAAACGATTTAAAAAATTTAATTTCTTGTACGATAACTATGACAACTACAACGACAACAATGACGACGACGATGACGACTACAACGACGACGACGACGACAACGACAACGACAACGACCACAACAAAGGTGACAATGACATCGACAACAACAACAATGACAACATCGATGCAAATATGTCAAAAAGAAGATAATAACAAAATAAATAGCAGTAAAGAAATAACCCGATCCATAGATAATATTAATAATTCTGTAAATAATTCAATTACAAGTCCTATATCATTAAATAATGCCAAACCAATCGCTGGAGAATTAATAACATTATATGGTAATGAAACTAGTACAAAAACATTACTAGATAGTTCAAATATGCCTACAATTAATATAGAAGATAATGTTAATTTATCAGGTTCTGGATTATCTCCGTACATTAAATTCAATTGTAATAAGAGTAATCAAAATCAAAACTTATCAGATATTGATTTAACACCTATCATTCAAAATTCAAAAGTTGTTGTTCCTTTAAAGACGAATAATATTGTTAATGATCGACATCTTTCAACTTCCAAAAGTATTGATTGCGATATCATTAATAAACGCACTCCAAAATCATTATTAAGAAGTAGATCGAAAAATTATAGATTAAGTTTATCAACACCTAGAAGGAGGAATAGTCATATAAGAGCTCTCGATTTTAATACGCCTATAAAGACAACAAACATATCCGATAAAATAATCAACGAAAATAATAGTGCACATTTTTCATCAGGATCCGCGAAAATTGTTACATCTGTATGTAGAAATTCTCTTTTTAAATCTCCGCCACTTACTAATACTGCTATATCTACGCACAAAATTAAAACTCCGTTAAAACTTTGTCGGCCTTGCAAACTTCCAATAGCATCAAGAAGCCCAATACCAAAACTTATGGGTGATTGGGAAAAATATAACGGACTTGGAATAATTATAGGCGATGTTTCTTCACATTCAAGCATTAATGTTTCTTCTGAAAACAAAGTTATAAAAACTCAATCTAAATCGTTGAAACTTACAAAAGATACGTGGGACGCAGATTTGCGAAAAGCTTTACACATTGCCGTTGATGAAGATAATCAAAAAACGAAAATATCTACCACTGACAAGAAAACAAATCGTTCAAAAATTACTAAATCAAATGTCGTTATCTCGTCAACAAAGAAGAATAAATGCAACCTGCGCACATCGAAAAATAAAAATATTGTACCAGAAGAAAATAAAAAGAATGCGCAAAATGCAAGGAATAAATGTATTGTAGAAAAATGGAATGCGGCGGAATCCACGATCACGAAAAGCATAGATTGTAATGAATCTAAAACGGATAAAGATTTCTTAGCTACTCACATTAATCATAATTTGGCAGTAAATAATTTTTCTAATATGAAAAAAGACGATGTTAATGTACAAATTTGTACAATAAATAAAGATAAAGCGATTATTGAACAAAAAAATATCGATCATCAATTGTCTCTAGCAAAGAACAATTATTCATATGATAATGCGACAACAAATGATAATTTATTATTGAAAAAAAAAATGTAAAAAAATATGCTCAATTAAAAACGTTACAGACTAATTTGAATAAATGTAGCCGAAGTGCTAAAAAATCACATTTAGAAAAAGATACAATTTCCATGGATACTACAGAACGTTCAGAATTCACAAAAACTTCTGTAGATATCACACAACAATTATTACAAGTACCTAATTTAATCGATCACGAAACACCGAGAAAATTAAATAATTCTTCTGGTGTTCCACCGACACCAAGATTGCTCAGTCCAAGCAGCAATACAACACCGTTTATCAAATCTAGCGAAGATACTGGTAAGATGTGTAGTTTCATAAATACACCAGAATTTCCAACAACGCCTTGTATTCCATTAACTCCAAAAATTTCTGATGAAACAACTACAGACAATATAAAAAAAGAAACATTTAATTCTTGTTCTCCATATTATAAGCCTACCTCCGAGCTAAATGAGCGTGAAAAATTGTCAAAATTTAGTAATAGTACACAAAAACCAATCGTAGGATCATCACAATGCACAAAACAGTGTATACCACATAACATTATTAGTTCTACAAATACATATCAAACTTGTGTATCTGCAAAATTAGAAATAACACAATTTGAAGTGATTAAAGAGAATTTGCCAAAAGAAGAAGCAATAAAAGAACTTAAAATATCAGCTAATTCACGGGATTCCACCTATTATACGAAATCTGATTTAATTGAGGATAATGCCAATAAAGATAATACGAATAAAAATATACATGAAAAAAAGGGAAATATTGATAATGAGAAATATCTGTCGAATAGCGAAAACTCGAACGATAGCAATGCATCCACATCTTCTTCTTCTTCATCGTCCTCTACGTCATCATCATCATCATCATCGCCATCATCATCGTCATCTTCATCATCATCGTCATCTTCTTCGTCATCATCTTCATCCTCATCATCATCAACATCGGTGTTTTCACCATCATCTACTTTGACTAATTTAAAAACAACAAAATCGGTAGAAAAATCTCCTAATAAGAAATGCAAAAAAGTTTCAAATCAAAATTGCATCAATACAAATTACGATTCAACACGGAAAATTACACACGTTACAGAAACAATTAGTGAAAAAATGGCATGTTCAACTATTTCAGAAAATAATTCTCTACAGTTACAAATTAATCCAACCGATGTATTACATACGGAAGAAACAATTATTGCTTTAAGAAAATGCGAATCTTCACCTTCAAAAGTATTTTCAATATTAAAAAATGAAAAAGATTGTAAATCTAATATGAAAGAAACACCTGCCAAAAACGAGACTTTGTTGAATGAAATAGATATTTCTGAGACTCCTAATAGTTCAAAGACTGGCATAGAGAATTTGACTAATTTATCTTCTAAAATTTCCGCATTAATAACTTCAGGAGATCGACAAATATTAAAATCAAATCAAAATTTATGCATAGAAAATTCTACAACCAAAAAATTAAAACAAAAACCTAATATAGTAGATATACAACATTTAAGATCTTCTTTGGTTAATTTTAAACCAACTAAATCAATAAAACATTCTTCAATGTTACAAAAAAGGCAAAAATCTCTTACTATAAATGAGAAATTAGTTGTACAATTAGAGGCCAAACGTCAACGTATGATAGCGAAATTTCGTGAAATTCCTAAAACTAATCTTAGCAAAGAAAAGACTCAGCAAGGAAGAATCATTTTTAAAGGTAAAAATAATACTAGCTTCAAAAAAAAAGCAATCAGTACAAATATATTCAGAAAAATGAGAATAAATTTAATGAAAAGAAAAAAAAGAAGAAAAGAAAAAGAAAATGGAAGAATCACATAATATTAATAATAGTAATATTAATACTAGCAACAATAATGATAATAAATATAGCAATAGTAATGATTACGATCTTGGTATCAATAATAATAATAATATTAATAATGGCAAAGCTAATCATGAAATCAATGATAATAATAATGATAAAAATGCTAAATTAAAGCAATTTTCCACTAATAATAATTCAAAAAGTGAAATCTATAATTCAGAAAATTCAAAACAAAAAGATATTATCGATAATAATGAATTAATATTCGAAATTACAAACCATGTACCTACAGAAACAAAAGATGATCCAAAGAATATTATCAAAATAGCAGTCGAGAATAATAAGATAGAGAATCAAATAAATAATAATTCGAAAGTTATGGAGAAAGAAACTAAAGAAAATATAAAATTGGATGCAACAAAAAATCTAGAAGCGAAACAGATTCAAGACAGAATTAACACGGAAGTTGAAAAATATGAGAATAAAAAATATGATATAGTTACATTGAATGAAAATAAATACAATAATATAAAAAATGAACATAGTTCTAACGAAGAGGATACACGCGAACTAAAAGGATATCTAAAAAACGTAAAAGATAATGATAAACAAAAAATAATTTTATTAAAGTCTAAAGTTGATCAAATAAAACGAGATTTATTTAGCGATGAAGAAGAGGTGTTAAAGAAAGAAGAAACAAATCTTTCAGCCAAACAGAAAGACAATATTTCTACTGAAGTACTTGATACTATTAAAAATACAGATATAGAAAATAACGATTCGGAAAATCCGAAGAGTTTATCATGTGTACTTCAATGTTTGCAGCTCGTTCCTACATGTAAACATGATTGTAAAATAGAATCTCAATGTACGAAATACAATCGTAAAATGGATCTTAATGTAACTATTCCTAATTCGGTAGAGTATCATTTTCTACATGACGAAGTAACATCTTTCAAAAAAAGAAGGCGAAGATACAGTAATCATGAGTTGGAACTTCAAATTAATATTGTTTTAAATGATCAAAATTATGATGAAAATGTTAAAGTAATGACAGCTACAGATTATGAAGAGATATTTAATCTACCGCCTAAATCTAGGAAAAGATTGGGAAATCGAAAATCACCAATTAAACATGAAAATAGTTGCGAAACATCGAATAAAATTTCTATCGATACTTTAGCAATGAAAAATGTGCATGAAAAACCTTTAGCAACTTCATCTCCATTGGAAAAACCATTTACATCTACAATAAAAAAAAGTACTATCAAAACTGCTACAATGAATGAAAAAAATATTGAAGTACAACATAATAATAAAAAACGACTAAAAATAGATAAAATTCGAGAAGATAATAAAGGTAATTATATTCCTTAAAAATATATTATATCCCTTTTGATATAATTAAAAATATTAGTTTAATATTTAATAGTAATAATTTACCAAATTATTATTTTTAGGCAATATTATTGCAAAAATTTCAAAAAGAAAAATATCAGAATTAAAAGAAAGTAAACAGGTTCGTAATTAATTTCAAATTTAATTGTTTGGAAAATTTATTAGAAATATTAATAATTATTTTTTTCCTTCTATATTTTAGACTGAAAAACGACAATGTACGACAGATCCACAAACATTACTAAACAATTTAGATCTGGATAAGTTTTTAACTTCTGTTCATGGACCAGCATGAGCATTAATTTAGTTCTTCAACATTGTACAGAAACATAAAACATATAAACATGTGCGCGCGTTATAATATAAAAATTGGGCATTCTTTTATCCTTTTTAATTTTCTAGGAAACTATTTTGTTAAACTTATTAGCATAATGTGTATAGTACATTTATATAAATAAAAGTTATTTCTGTGTACGTGAGAAAATAAAGATCAGATTTCAAATTCTGCTCTAATATATGTATAGGATAAAAACACTTTTTTTATTGAAAATATTATTTAATATAACACAAACAGTACATAACTGTAAGTTAAGAACATATATAAAACCAATGTGTATTCTGTTTATGAATAACAAGAAAGATATGTATTAAACATAATCCCAAATCATTGAAATATTTACTAAATATAAGAAAATAAATATTCAAGATTTAGATTTTACAGCTTTATCCACATCATCCATAACAGATAATAATTTTTTCCATTGCGTTACATTTAAGCAAATACCTATATAAAATATAAAATTTTTTTTATCATCATTTATCACTTATGACAAATATTTTCAACAAATAAATTTTATTAATACCTTTTTTTCCAGGTTTTAAATTTGCTTCTTTATCATAGTACATTTCTCTGATGTCGACATATAATTTTCCTTTAAAGTCTCTTACACTAATTTGACGATTATTTCCTAAATCCCAGACAGTGTCTTTATTAGATTCATCTTTATTAGATTCATTTTTTAATTTTTTTGATACTTTTTCTTCTTTCTCCTCTATTTCTCTTTTTTGCTTTTTCCTTGGTTTCATTCCCTTAATAAAAAAAAATGAAAAAATATTGTATGTATAGCTTTGCTTCATGAATTTTAATTTCTTATAATGAAGTTTTATTTTTTATTTTAAACTCATTTTAATCTTTTAAAATAATATAAAAACCTATAACAATCTTGTTCAATATTTATATTTGAATATATATGTATAAGAATATTATTTTACATAAAATACCTCATCACTACTGTCATCATCCGTAGACACATATTCCTTTGATTTCGGCATTTTCTGAAAATGTATGAAAATGAATTATTTAAAATAATTTTATTAAATTCTATATAACATTAATTATCGTTTATACTTAAAGAATTAATCTGTAATAAATAATTATTCTGTAAAAAAAAATATAATAATTGTTAAAATTGAACGATTTTATTTGTTATAGCTTCTTAATAAATATAACATATTTATATGATATTAATATCTTACTTATTATATGATGAATAAAGATCGATTTAATGATGAAGAAAAAATAGGAACTCAATAAGGATATAATTCTATTAAATTTATCATAGAAATTTAAAATGATTTAACAATAGGAGGTATATTTTACAGAATTATACTTGGAAGTACGTTAGGTACACATTTACTTATGTATATTGTGCGTACCATATTATATAGTATGTATTATTTCTGTAGTTCATTGATTTCCGTTTTATTTGAAAATTCAAAATAATTATATCAAACATATTTAATATTAATATTTACTTAATCGAATATTGGTATTATTATTTCATAAAAAATTTATAATATTTAAGTAAGAATTAAAAATTTTTTTATAATATATTTTTTTTATTTATTTTTTAAAAAAGTAAAGTAAAAAAGTAATCAAAAAAACTTTTGTAAAAATCGTTATAAATTATAAAGTTTAACAATTAAATATGTTAAATTAATTTTATTCATCATTAAGTTATAATAATTAAATATATATATATATATATATTGCTAATGTACTTATTAAAATTATACACATATTATATTAAAATTATATATATGTATACATATAATTTTATATTAATATAAAAGATATAGCAAAATAATGATATATATTATTTTTTACTTCACATAATAATAAAAGTTTTTTTAATCCATAAATATTTTTAGAATTATCACAAAATATTGGTCTTTTATATTCAATTTGCTTTTTTAGTAAGTAAAAATCTTTTAAAAAAATTTAATATAAATTAAATTTATATAATATTTTTAAAAGATTAATAAAAGATAAATATTAAAATTAATAAACTTTTTTAATTTTTTTTTTAAATAAATATAATAAAATACTTTATATTATTAATACATAATTCTTTTTATAAGATATTTATATTTTTCAAATTTTTCCGGATATAAAAGGTTCTAATTTATAAAAAAAACATTAATAATTATTTAGAAATTAGAAAGAAATATAAAATATTTTTTTATGTCAATAAATAAAAAAGTAAATAATATATAAAAGAAATTTTGTTCTATTGAGAGGAAATAATATGTACATCATATTTACATAAGTTTTTACGCAAATAACGAATTATATTTTATTAAGTTTTGTTTAGAATAAATTATTCACTTATATATATTTTATTTTACAATATATCACTATTTATGACTCCTGTTTAAAATAAATTATTCACCTTTATATATTTTATTTTATAACATCACTATATACGAAAATCTTTGACATTAACATGTTCTTTCCTTTAAAAATGTTTTTTTCTTATTCACAATAATTAATTTAATTTAATTAATTATTATTATTCGCAATTCTAGATGTTTGAGTTAAAGGCCGTCGACTATCTTCATCTGGTCCATATATAACTTCTTCATCAGAATCATTAATCATAGAAAAAGTAGGGTTGTCCTTAGTTATAGAAGAATCTAATTATAGAAAAATCAATTATAAAAAATAATACATTAATTTAATTCGATATAAAAAGGATTTTCTATATCGAAATCAAAAATACTTACGTTGGCCATATACTTGTTGATATGCTGGTGCATATACATAAGCCATTGTATAAAGATAAAAATTCAAAAGACCATACAAAGCCATAAATTGTGCGGATGAACGATAATACGTTGTGAGACGAGAGGCAAAACTATCTTCAAATATACCAGCTCCAAATTGTCGCGCTGTCACGCAACCACAAACCAACGAAACCACAGCAGCAAGTAGTGTCAAAAAACGTAAACGAAGATCTAGAAAAAAAAAAATATAGAAACAAAAAAAAAAACATAATATATCGAAAAAAAGATTTTTTTAAGAGATATTATATAATAATTACAAATACATTTTACAATTACAATTTAAATAATAATAACAAATACATTTATAATCATACCAAAATATGGCATGGATCTTAATTCGCTGTATGCTCTTAATATCAAGAGAAGAAGATATGCTATATAAAATCCTCCTACTGTGAAGAAAAATACTTTGAAACCCTAAAATCATGTAAATTTATAAAATTATAAGTATTAATTAAAAATGTTGTATGATAAACTTATAATTATCAATTATTGATAACTTACAAAATAATTTGATGTATCAAGAACATAATTATAAGTGGGATCTTCTAACTCTGTGCAACGCAACCATGTTGCTAAAATAAATGCAGAACACCATAGTAAACCCACTACCAAAACTTTTGGTAAATAGAATGTGATAAGACGTCTTTCATTCTATTAAAATATAAGATTTGTAGATATAAATAATATTATGATTTAAATTATGCTATTATATTAATTAAATATCACACATACTTGTCTTAAACCATGATAAACACATAACCAAAACATGAGAATTGCACAAAGGAATGTTGTCTGTAAAATTGCATCTATCATACCAGGTACCCAAGAATTGACTAAAAATGTCATTGGAAATAATGGATCTATAAAAGTAAAATAAATTTTAAATAAAAATAAAATAAATTAGTTAAATATATATAAAAATATAAGTTATTAATTTTTAATGCCTTACTATTATATAAAATTAATAAAGGAAGAAGTATAGAAATCCATTTTTGTTCTATTGACCAATCATGTAATGGATATTTTCGTAGAGAATGTCCAAACCAGCACTAAAAATCAATACAATTGATATATGATATATAATTTTCTTTTAAATAATGTGCGAAAATATACATTTTTCATTATTCTTTACCATAACTCCAAATGCAGTTAACAAAAAGATAAATCGAAACCAAATCTCGAACTCCGTAAACGCTGGATTATAATTTTTAAACTATGAACAAGTAAAAACATTATCAAGTGCAATTTGATTCTAGAAATTTTTATAATAAAACCATGTTATTTTTATATAGTGCTTACTGACGTAGAATGTGAGATCGCATATGTTATAACGTTGATGGAAGCTCTCAAGTCCATGAAAACGAACAGTAATAATATAATAACTATAATCAAGAAATCCGAGATGAGCAACTACCAGTTCTTCACATGTTTGTCTTTCACATTTTAAGTGTCTGGTTCTTTGAAAAAGAAGCATGTTAATAATAATTTTATATTATATGTATGAAATAATGAAGTTATACTATATTTGTAGATCATAAAAAATACCTATTATGACCAGTTTCTGAAGAAAGAACAGGTATGAGTTTATGATCAATAATACCATCTATTGAAATGCTTATTTGAAAACTTTTATCATATCTTTCATCTGTAAAATTTGAAATATAATTGTAAATTTATTAATTTTTTAATTCTTTCATATTTATATTACCATCATTATTAGATGTTAATAATTTTGCAATAACCCATAATTGTTGACTATATGTAGATAATAAAGGTGTTTTCATAATAAAAGGGCCAGTAGCAACTTCACTATTATTTACATGAGCTTTCTGTTCACTCATAGAAGTAATAGGAGGACCTATAACAATACAATGAAATAATAATATAATGAAAAGAAAAAAATAATATATATGAAAAAGAAATATTTTATAAAAATACCTGCAAGTCCAATAAATACAGCTAATCCAAAACATGCAAAAAAAGCAATGAATACCATAACAAATTCTCTTTTATGCATGGAATATAATCGCATTTGAACTGATCTAAAGAAGAATATTATTATTTAAATATATATATAATATATATATTTTATGTAAATGGAATCAAGTACCTCTCACATCGATCATGATGATAAGCAGGGGCAATATACTTATTAAATTCACTAAAGAGATCACTGAATTGTGCAAGTACATTTCTAACTCGAAAATTCCATCCTGCAGAAGGAAGATGATATGAATATCCCAATCCAGATCCATCCATTTTTACATTGAATCTATCACATATATTGCAAATATAAATACATATATTATATATATTTTATAATTATATTTTAAAGATACATTCTCATTTTTATAATTAACAAGTAGAGAATAAAAGTTTTTATGTTCTGTTTTCAATATTTATAGTGGAGACGCGAAAAATAATTCTATTGTATTGATCTGATTACCTTTAGTTTTCTAAAAAAAATAAAATAATTTTACATTATAAATAAATCATATTTTCAATGAAATGTTAAAAATATACTTATGATTGTATAATTTTACACATTTATTCGTATTCAAATCGTATGAAAAAAAATATTTATATAACTAAGGTATTATTACCTTTCTATTTAGTCTTGTAGATTTTTGTATAATTTCAAGATATTTGTGTTAATCGATATATCATATTAAATTTTAACAATTTTAAGCAGAGCATATATTGTTAAGCGTTCGTCAATTTAACGATTAAAATTGTAACAAGATTTAATTCGATGATGACAAAAAACAAATTCTTAACGACACATGAAACAAATGCAGCAGACATCATGATGTATATTATTGATTTTTACGATAGTATGGTACATAGTTAGTAATTCGCCATTTAAGGCTGCAATTAGTGAACACGAATTTATACGAATAATTCGTGTTCAATATTATAATTATATGCATAACAATTCATTTATTTAATTGCACGCGAATCATTGTATGAATCAATCAGTTCGAATCCATTATAATCGAACTCTCAATAATGTAACGTAATTCATTCAATTCTGGTTCATGATATGAATTATTTTTAATATTACATATTCATTTCAATCTGGTTTATGATAATTATTTTTAACTAATAAGAACTAAAGAAAATAATTGTTAATTAGTTTTATGTCAATTGTGTTTAATTATAAATATAATCAAATTATAATTATGTAAAATATGTAAAATAATTATTAGTCGGCATAATTATAAAAATAATAATATTAATAGTTTTAAAATAATTTTGTAATCGACTTACTGCAAGCATCTATTTCTATATATTATTGAAAATAATATATTGTAAAATATAATGTATAATTTCTGTATAATAATGAAACATTTTTTAATATTCAAAAGTTCATATATGTTTTTATAATTATTAATGATATTATATTTTTATTAATAATGTATGGTTGGAAATATATATATATATATATATAAAGTAAATCTATTTATACACATCATATAAAATATACATACAAATACAAAATAAATAAATTATTTTACAATGTGATTATTTATGATGTTTTTTTAATCCCAATATTTTATTTTTCCATCCCAACCAGCTGTAGCTAATCTTGAAGGTTCATGAGGATGCCACAATACATCAATACATACGCCATCATGTGCTTTCCATTTCTTATATAATTTTGTTGTTTTCCAATCCCAAATATAACATTTACCATCTGCATCTCCCGAAACAAGATAACTTAAGAAAATAAGAGTAAAAATATTAAATTATGCTGGATATAAAGAATTTTATAATTTTATAAGCATATTTTATAAGCGCATTTTATAAGCAAAAAAATTTTACCTCATATCTGGAGAAAAATCCAAACCACATGCATAACCAGCAACCATATGACCCGTAAATGTTTTTTTACGATTCATTTTAAATCTGTTTAAGGCCGAAAATATAACAATTTTATTATCCATACTTTGACATGCAAGCCATTTTTGATTTGGCGATGGTGTAACTGCTGGCATAGAATGCATAGAAGGATCAGCTATGTATTTCATGTCAACCGGTATATCCCATTCCCAAACTCTTAAACTTTTATCATCTGAAGTCGTTACAAATCTTCGATTTTCATCTACAAACGTTATCGTATTTACAGCACCCAAATGTCTGTCATATTCTTGTGTTATTTCACCAGAACGTATATCCCACTGTAAAATATTTATATAATATATTATCTAATAAAATTGAAATTTATAATATATCCTACAAATAAAAATATGTATGTATAACTCACGCAGATAATTTTTTTGTCGCTGGTACCTGCTACAAATAAGTGTTGTTTGTCCGGATCAGGATTAAATTTAACGCAATATGGAATTTTTCTACTTGTAAATCGACTTATGCAAGCACCTGTTTCTGTATCCCATAATTTTACATAACGATCGTATCCAGCAGACAAAAATTTTTTTCCATCATTATCAAAACTTATGTCTCTTACAGCTTGGCGATGTCCGTAATAAGTTCGGATACATCTCCTATCTTTATAAACTTCCCATAGCTGTATTTAATAATATAAGTGAAATTAAATTATGTCACTTCTCATTATTTTTCATGTTTCAAAATTAAAATATAAATACCTTCACTCTACAATCCATACTACAAGAAAGTAATAAATGCGCAGTACGAGGGAACCATCTGATTTGTGAAATACCTTTGGTATGTCCCTCCCAAGTATGAATTTGCGCTTTTGGTAAGAAACATCTATCGGGTGGTGATTCTGATCGTAAATTTACTCCAACATCTTGAGGAGCATGTAAAAATGATCTACCTTGATAATCCACACTGTCTTTAACTAAAATAAATTTAATTATTTCAAAATATTTTTTATAAATTTATATAAGAATATATTTAATTATTGTGATATTACTATGTAATACTGTTTTTTCCTCAAGTGGTTTTTCCTCTGCTGGTTTGCCTCTCCTGTTTCGTTTTGCTAATATTTCTTCTAGTTCTGCAGCTTCTTCTTCAGTTGGCTTAATAATTCGTTTTTCATCTACATATCCACCCCAAGGACCCAAGAATCCTTCAATATCTGCAGGATCATCATTTCTGTGACGTTTTCTTTTATCAGAAGCCCTTAATGTTGTACTTTCAAATACAGTTTTACAACCAGATTCTTCAGCAGCATCTTTTGCTCCAATAATAGTTTTACCTTCTTCTGCACTACCATCTACAGTTGGATCTAATGCGTATCCTATAAAATATAATATTTATAAAACCATATATCATATAACTTCTTTTAACATTTACTATATATATTATTATTATATTTTATACCATAACTGGCAAATGTTCTCCTTTGATTTTCAAATTGAAACTCGCTTATATGAGCTTTCTCAACATATCCAGAAAGTATATTTTTTACAGCACGTTGTTGTTGTGTTTTAAAAGGATTTTCTGGACCAACATCTGGAGCAAAAAGTTCTTCATACTTGGGATTATGCATTACTTCTTTTATAGTTGAATCTATTTGATTTATACATAATTCAGTCCCCTATAGCACATTTAAAAAAATAATTTTTAATCTATATTGATAAAAAAAAATTTATAAATAAATATTTACCGTTGGTATTACTTCTGGTGCAGAACAAATTTGCATATTTATAGATGCAGTTAAATTTTTTGTGAAAATAGAATTAACAATATTGGTAGAATTAATCATACAATTAACCTCATTTTCTCTATTTTCATTTTCATTTTCAGATTCGCTATCACTACTACCGTAATCTTTTAACGCAAGCATAATTTATTTAAATTCTTTTTCTCACTAAAACATAAAATATTTTTACATTTTCTGATAAAAAATATGCTTCAAAATTGACAATTTTTAAAAACTTTAAGAATCTATAAGTTTAAAAGTTACACATATACGAAATTACAATATTTTATAGGTTATAAGTTCAATCACTAGAATAATTCCATTAACAATTCATTCACTGAAAAAAATAATATATATATATATATATATATGTTGTCCTTAAGGTTTGTTTTCACGCATAAGAGTAAAAGTCATAATTTTTATTGTTATGATATTGATAATGATATATTGTACCTCGCGATACCAAATTTAATAGCCATTGTGAAATTCAACTTTTCAAACGAAGGTCATGATTTTTAATATTGTAATTGTAAAACGATTATTGTTATGTGAAAACATATCTTTATCTTTTCTTTACCAAGCCCAATTGTGTGCATTAGCTTTTAGGCTCATAAATGTCAATCTATGGGATGTTGTAAATTCGAATAAATTCAAACTAAAATTAATCCTAGTTAATAGGATAATTAAACAAAAAAAAAAATATATAAAATATTTTTAAAATGATAGTATAGTGGTAAATGATAACTTATTCTTAAATCACGATTCATGTATAAAAAATAATCAATCGTATGTGGAAATGTTTAGACGACGATTTTTGTAAAATTCAAAATTGCGATTTCGATTTCATATATAATCGATCGATCAGTGAATTTTTTCGAATGAAGGAAATTAATGAAATCGATCATTTACAATATCAATATAGCATTTAATATGGAAAGCTATAAACTCAATTGGATTTAAATACTGTATTATACGAATCAGACGCATATCGCACGTGAATCACAATATTCTAGGTAAATAATATAACATAAAAAAATAATTATAAAAGATACTGAACTATTAAAAAATTTTCTGAAATGCTAACCTACATCCAATAGGAAATGAGTAATACTGATAACGCTTCGTGTTTTGTTCCTGATTTCAAGTCATATTTTGATGAAGATAATACATTGATGCGAAATTTTTCGGGAATGAATTTACCCGAGAAGATTTTATTTGTAATTGATACGGCCAGAGAGAAAAATTGTACTCCCTTTAAACTTTCTACAGGAGCTAGTTATACTCCTTTATTTATGATAAAACGAACTATAGAAAATTTTATTTATATTAAATCTATCATTCAACATAGTCATGAATATGCATTAATGATTTTGAACTCTCATAGCTCTAGGTGGATATGTGATTTTACCAGTAATACCAATAGTATTGTTAATCACTTAAATCTTATTAATGATGATTTTCTAGAGGAAGATCAAAAGTCATATGACCTTGGACAATTATTCGATGAAATACAACAAAAATTACTTCTATTAACAAAGAAACATGAGACTACTGTTCCAACATTTGTTATCAGAGTAATTTTAGTGTATTCACGTTCCAACAGTATCCCAAAATTTCATATTGATAAAAGATCTTTAGATACTCTTATAAAAAATCCATATTTTTTCATAGATGTATTATATGTACATGAGCCACCTTGTTCCGAAAATTTATGCGAAGAAATTTATTCTGAAATAGCAACATTGGATACAACAAATTTTTCATATATATTAGAAGTAGGAAGAAATGCAGCAAAATTACATGATAGTATGGCTAAATTATTGGCACATCCTTTACAAAGGCCACCACAAAAAGATGTATGTTATACAATTTGTTCACCTTCTGTTTCTCAAGAAACATGTAATAATGTTTAGTTATATAATCTTTGAAAGTTGTAAAAGTAGATATTAATAAGTTTACATATAATATAATCATTGATAATGGAAGCAATAAGCAAAAAATAAATGAATAAATAAAATAGAAAATACAAAAATAGCCTTTTTTATATTTTTATATTTAAATGCTATTTGCAATATAATACAGATCAATTTAAGCTTTGAAGCTTAAAGTGTGTTTCTTTCTTTTTTTCTAATATCTTGTTATATATACACAATTAATTTTTATTTAACTCATTTATTATTTTATATAATTTTTTTCTTTACTATAGTAGATAAATTTCAAAAAGAATATTAAATATATAAAGAATATTATAACATAATATTTAGTTATAATAAGAATGTGTTATAATTTTTATATACAAAATTTTATTGAAAAAATATGTAAAATAAAATTTTTTTCTATATAAATACACGATCATTTATAAATAATGTAATATAATGAAGGAATATTGATCAATTATTCACTGGCACATATTATTTAATTATAAAGTATTATTATATATACATTATAAAGTATTGTTATACATTACAAACTATTATTATACATATAATAACATATTTGTAAAAGTAAAAAGTAAATTAGCTAGTAAATATCATAAAGCTTATAATTTTTTTACATAATTAATGTTCAATCTTTAATTGATATATTTATAATATTTATATCACAGTATAGAAATACTTATAGAATTAAATAAAACTATTTATATAATCGGCAGTAATATTCATTTTACGAAATTTGTTATCAATTATAAAACTATATGTTAAATATCTTGGAAAAATAAACAATATTCAAAGTTTTGAAATATTATTAATTATCGACATAAAATAATATTACAGAAAGCAGAGGCAAAAAAAGATAATTATATTACATTTGAATTAAAAAATTAAAACAAAATTGAATTTACAATTGTATGAATAGCTTTAAAAAAAATTTTCATAATTCACTACCATAATAATAAGTAATAACTAATATTTATAACACGAATTCTCATTGATTAAGCATGATATTTATATTTTATTTAACAATGACTCTGACACATGATAATTCATCATTCATTTAATTCATCTATATATATCTAATGACTTGTTTCATTATATAAATACTAAATTAGAATACAAATATACTTATATATTTACTTACGTACATTTCTTCCATATAATACTTTTTTTTCTATAGACTAGCAATAGTCGATATCGATTAATAATAATATTTCTTCTTTGATGTAAAAAGTGCTAAATAATAAAATATAATGTATTTCAATTAATTTCAATTAATGTCGAATATATATATATAAATTACTCGTTTTAAAACATATCGCATAAGAAACTGAAGATATAAGAAAAATATTTTTATAATCCTTATATGTATAAATAATGTCTTTGTAAGTAGAATATTGAATAATTGAATGAAAATAGAAAATTGAAGGATAGGAAGGAGGAATTTCAAGATAAAATTTAATGAAACATTATACAATTATATGATAGCTTTTATCAAAACAAGTTCGATTATTTTGATAAACGCTATTGATTGATTTGCAATAAAAAAAATTTACACTAAATAATTTTTGGAAGAACGTTTTTTTTTGATAACTTCAGTTTTTATGCGATTATTTTACCATTTTTAATAAAATCAGACATCAGAAACGTTCATATTATATATATAAAAATGTTCTTTACTAATGCAATTATTTCGTATTTAATTTAAAATAATCAAAAGATGTTAACATCTCATATAAAACAGGATGTCATTTATTAGTAGTTGTAACAAAAAGATTAAATTTTTACGAACTATTTCTTTTCCTATATAAATGTATGGATTATAGCTATAAAAGAATAAAAAGAAAGTAGAGAATACGGAATAATTGAAATAGCCGAAGATGATATTTGCAACGTTCTCAATACTTCTGGCAACACTTTTATGAATCGTTTTATACTATTTTCAGTAATTTCATCTATCGTAACGTTTGAAGTTTCTACTATAGATTTTTTCACAGTGTTTGATGCAATGTTCAAAGAATTTGATTCGAATTGTACATCTTCAGGTTGCCAATTACCGCACAAAGGAAAATTATGTGGTACTGGTAACATATCTTTATGTTCGCCAACTTTAAAGATTAACGACATTCCAACTTCTGCATGAAATTCAATGTGACAGTGAAACAACCAGTAGCCTGAGAGAATATAAAAGTGAAAAAGATAAAATCCTCATATGTTTCACGTTTTGAAGACAAATTTTAAATAAAAGAGGAAAAGAAAGAAAAAGAAGAAATATCAAACGAACAAGACATTTTATATATACCTGGATTATTGGCATGAAATCGTACAACAGTGTAACCACCGTCCGGTACCGTTACTGTGTCTTTTAACGGAGCATGGTCAAGATTTCGTCGTATTGCCCCTTCTTTATCCAATGCCTTTACTTTGTCAACAGTGACATTTTCACCGACTCTTTCCATTGCGATCACGCGAAATTGATAACCATGAAGATGAAACGGATGATTCGCGTCGTAAGCGAAACCTAAGGAATAAAAGTATTCGATTAGAAATCAAACAATATTTCGATTTAAAGATGGCGTCACGTGCGCATATAATATAAAAATATAAAATAATCGACAAACCTTCATCCACCAAAACAATTTCCACCACGCTATCAAGATTTACTCGAAGCACATGAGTGCAAGCGCAATAATCTTGGACACAACCTTGTACGGTACTTGAATTACAAAATTGATCCGAATCGATGAAATCCCTTTGAGATAACAGAGGCATCGGTGGCAATTTCATCGAGATATGATTTAACTGGGGAGTAAGTACTTGTTTTGTATTCTTTACTGAAAATTATTACATATATACATCGAATAGCATAAAAGAAGTAGCAATATATATGTATATACATATATAGTATGTAGATGGTATCCATTACCTTGATTAAATCCATAAAGCTTTCCGCGATGGAAATGTGGATTATCTTTCTTGTAAAAATCATAGGATACATAAAATTGGTAATCAGGATGCGCGCTATTTGATTTATCATTTTTGTCCATGGCTTTTAACAAAGGTATGCTAATACTATTATTGGTTTCTGTACCCTCGTTTAAAGCGTTTATACGCTGAAATAGAAGATATATCATACATCTATGCTCTATAATCCAATTAACGAATCAACGAAATTTCACATGATATATATACCTGACCACCTATCGAATAGTTCGATTTATATTCATATCCGATTAATTCATTCGGATCTTTGTTAGCCGCGCCTTCATATCGTAGTATAGCAACTTGATATGCTTTAGTAAATCTTTCATCACAATCCATTAATCCGCGGAATCGTATCCAAAAGTTATCTATATTTTGATTCGTCTCAACAACGAAATCGAATCTTTCGCCAGCGTAACTTACCAATGATTCCGCTATAATTGTAAATAAAATTTGTACTCTTTCCCATTGATTTTTCCATGTCTTTATTTCGCGTTACTTACCTTCGACAGCTTCGATATCACGTCCGTCCGAGCTAATCACATGCATAGTATGATTGTCGATCGATAATTCGATCGGACAATTGAGAAACTCGGCGTTAATGAGTCTAAATCTATATCTGGTGTTCTGTAAAAATATTTGAAAAGAAATGATACAATATCATTTTTTAGATAAAAATTTTTGTTTTATATATATATATTATTTTTTTTTTTATCCATTTGTTTAACATTACCTGTTTAACCATAAAGATCGCGGTCGGCATTATAGCGGATATATTGTTCCGTTTCGATTAACTGTGAAACGACCTAAACCATTAATCAATATATTAGGCGGTTTATTATCTCCGCCTGCGTGATGATGATTTAAGAATTTATCGATTCCTAATTCATGAGTCCAATCCGAGATTTGGACAATATGTTCATCGATGTCGTACAAATCATTGTGCCAATTCACTTTTGGAGGTGTGCGTACGATTAACGGACCGAACACTCCATCACCCCGTTGAAAGCCTATAAGCATAGGATTACGGACTCGATTAGAGATCATTGTGTCGCATTGTTGGATTGTTGAATTACAGAGAAATTTTTTTCTCTTCTACCTGAATGAGAATGCCAAAAATGTGTGCCCGCCTCCGTGGCAATGAAATCATAACGAAAAGTTGAACCTGGCAAAATTGGGCACTGAGATACATAAGGTACGCCGTCCATGTACGGAGTTTTAACATGATGTTGGCCATGCCAATGCATCGTCGTGCTCTCGGAGTGTAATAAATTTATTACATCGACCGTTATCCTGTCACCTTGACACACCTATAACCGAGTATAATTTATTCGTCGACAAATAGATTTCAGAATAGAGATTTCTAATTTATTATATGAATAATCGTGAAGTATCGCGGAAATCGGAATTTTATGTAACGCATCATTACGAATGATGATGCTTAAAAAATTAGCGACAAAAAAATAATAAATTAATATGCAAATAACATTTTTAAACGGTTGCAACGTTTACAACTGTTACATGTAATACATAATTATGATTAATTGAGTACATCAATTAAGTTAACGTATAACTATTTTTAATGTAATTGCAGTTTTTTGTATTATTATATTCAATAATATTCCATAATTGTGGAAAATATTCGAAAAAAAAAGAAGAGGAAAAAGAAAAAAAAATGTATGTATATATTTTAGATAAATGAATAACGAAATAGCATATGTTAATTATGTATCATTACGAATATTCAAATTTAATTATCAATTTTTGATGATGTCAAATTTTATGTAGTAGAAAAATAGAAAAAAATAAATAGAAAAAAATAACACGAATGAAATAATTTCTTCATGTGCAAAAGCTCGAAGATACAAAATTGTCTATTCTTATTTCTTCAATTAGCTTCAATTTCTAATTTTCAACACGCGGATAAATTTTTATCGCGATATCGACAACTTTCGATCGATACTTTTTCCTGTTATACATATATATATATATATATATATATACCTCGATAGCTGGTCCAGGCATTTGACGATTAACAACTAAAATCGATCGTTCGATACCATCTGCTGCAATACAATGTTTACGAAAACAATCCGTAATGTTGAATGGACAATCGTAACACGCTTTGCTCATTGTGTGATAAGCCTCTAACCTAAAGATATAATGACATTGCATCGGCGGTGCTCCGTCTATGCAATTACGTCTACAAGGATGTTTCGTCCAGTCCAATTCATCGGCTGTCTCTGGATCGATACTTCCAATTTCAAAGTCATTGTGCACGGTTATAACGGTTTCTAAGGGAGATAAAGAATTATCCAAAATGTAATATTAAAAAAGTACGTTCGCCTCGTCACGCGTAACTATTATATATTACAAAATGTGCAAAAATTCAAAATTTTTTGGAACTATAAAGTGAAAAATTTAGATATTTTCCTTTCCATTTCGTATACACATATGCATCGATATGCGAATAATTGATATGCATGTTTTATTTACGTTTGCTTTTTCTCTTTATTTTCATTTTCACACTTACCTGACAGACAACTGTGAAGCAGCAAAAAGAATTCTAATAAATACAAATTCATCTTCCGACGCATCATTTTCATTCGATCTGTAAATGTATAAGTAAAGCTGTGAATTTTATTACGAGTACAACATAAAATCCGATAAAAGGCTACGTAATTCACGGTTAATCACTATTGATGCGCTTTATAGGCTTAAAGAAAATTATATGTACAAACATCATGAGAGAGAAGGAGAAAGAATTGCATCGAGCAGTGAAATTGACGATGAAAATAGAGGAGGTGGGGAGGGGGAGGGGGAGGAGAGGGAAAGAGGAGATGTGACTTTTATTTTACTTTATCTAATCTGGATATCATATGAATTTGATGGATGGTAACGTAGAATTTGGCCGAACAATATAACATGGAATGAATTATATTTCACATTTTACGAAAACTAAGTACGAAAACAATAAATAACCATTGATAATACAAATAATGACACACACATTAAAAGCAATAACTTGAATGAATGTTATTGTATATTAATAATTTATTGTTAATCTTTTTCTGACAATATAACAATTTGCTTATATAATAACAACATCGTTATTTTTTTTTTTTTTTATTATATTTCACAAACTTACACTAAAATGGCAATTCCTTGAAAAAATGTTGATCAAATTTGTCTGTCCAAAAATCTTACGAACTTTACGAATCTTCCTCTTTTTTCATTCTCTCGTCGCAAAGATTTACACGAATCGACATGACGTTTATCGTTTGTCGAAAAAGTGGGAAAGAAAAGTAAGATTGATTAGAATAGAATAAATAAATTTCGATGATTTACTGTTACTTTCGATACGGTAATATCGTATTTTCGTATTCACGACAACCGTGTGTGCGGTATGTGTAAAATCGACGATGTTTTAAGAAAGACTGGATCAATGCAACGATGTTCGTTTCTCTATACAAGGATTTCCTGGAGGTCATGTGTACCCCACAAATTGCCGTCGGTCCTCTTACTTTACCCGCTTAACTTGCCTATAGCGCGATGCAAATAACGTCAACGGTTTCGTACTATTTCCTCTTATAATCGTTCTTCCCCTGTGAGCAAGTATCGTGGGAAATTCCATTGATACACGTCAAAGAAATATATACGTATGTAACGATAAATAATGGAACAAATTTCCTCTTATTATGTGACGTATCTATGAATTTTAAATACGAAAGAAAATGGGAATCGATATATATTGAAACAACGGATGGATGATTTTTTTTTAATCTCTATCTTAATATGAAACAATTGAATTACGTAAATCTGTCTATCTGTCTTATTAAATCAGTAACATGAAACATTTCGACATTCCAAAAATTATCTCATTCTCGTCGGACGAAGAAAATTTGTCTTGGATTCGTTGGAATGAATGTATAAAACGAAAAGCATACTTTACATTTTTCGTTGCAATTGTTTTTTACGTAATACGTACGATATGGAAATAAAATATAAATATGTTCGAGGAATGTGCCCGTTTCATTTTGCTTGAATATTTCGACAAACCAGTTGAAACAAATGAAACTTGAACGTTACGGTTTCGAATTATAATTTTAATTTTAAAATATTAGATACGTATCTAATTCTTTATACGTATATATTTTATAGCGAATCTGTTCTGTAAATCTTTGATGGAATGATTCAGAATTATTCGTACAGTATAATTGTCATATCATTATTATTTCGTTATAACAATTTGAGATAATGACTTTCTATGTATTATGTACGTAAATATAATCTTAGAATCTCTGTTTTAAATTTAGACTTTAATATTTTTTTCGAAGAATTCTATGATTAAACGTGAATAAGCGTCACAGTTTTTCTATAAAAATCACACGTGTAATAGTGTATAATCACACGTATGACGTATAATCGTTTATTCTTTCTCAAGCTCCTTTTTCGCATATATAAAAATAATAACAATGACAAAATGACCTAATATAATAATAGTAATAATAATAATAATGTTAGCAACGATTATATGATAATTATTACATATTTAATATTTTTTATTATTCTTGAGAAACTTTAATTATGAAGATATAATAATCAATATATGTATGAATATTAATCGCGTACCATTATATATTATATACTTTTATATTTTGAATCGAAAAAAATGATTTTTTTTTTGTACGTTTTAAATTAGAAGAAGTAGAAATTAAAGAAGTAGAATAATATATCCGAAGATCGTGATTGAGTAATGTGAAATTTTTCGACATATATATATCTTATGTAATTATTACATTATATACGAACGAATTTAAAAGAAAGTCGTATTAAAAACAGAAAATGTATTGTTTTATTGGAAGCAAATTACAGGGAAAAGTCCTGAATAAAGATTATTTATCATAATTTCGAATATATAAATAGGTAGTATTCCAATATTATTTTATAACGGTTTCTTTTGCTTGACATAAATTTTAAACAGATCATCAAATATTAATATAAATAATATCGTTGTTAATTGAAAAATTTAATGTTGCATATTGATTTTTGTTGTGCGTTAAAAAGTTATTTATTAATCGAAATTGCGAAATTCAAAGATTCAAGTGAAAAATGAAAAAAGGGTCGAGAAATAACATATAGAAGATGAAGAAAGAAAAGAGAAAGTTTACGCAAGAACGTTAACCTTCGTGTAATAACGGTGATGTTGACGAAATAACTACGCAATATAGCAGCTGTAGCGTGTGTAATCCAAGCAAGGACATATAGGAATGTGTCTCTCGATCTTTATCAATTTGTTTAAATTTTATCATTAAGAATGTAAATAAGTGACTTTCTTATTTCGAAATAAAAAAATCTATTATTTTTAAAAGAACTATTGTTTCAATTATTTGTAATTAAAAATATTAAGCAAATTAAATCATAAATAATATAGATTGCGTTAATTTAATTTGAAACGCGATTATATATGTTTAATAATGTATTGCGCTAAGAAGTGTATGTTTATCTGATAATGTATGTATAATATATATATATATATATTTCACTTTCTTAGAGGACATAAATATCTATGATGATAGAATTCGTTTTTATTGCTCATTTATAAGAAATATTTTCAAATTGTCATTTCTGTGAATGTGTGTTGGAAAATATGTATATGTATTTATATTATATGTGTGTATGTATATATATATATATATGCATATAAAATTAATCAAACGACAATCAACATAACCTTTTTTTATAATACGTTAATACGAAATCCGATAATTTAAATCCGATAATTGCAATTAGTATTAACTAAAGTGATTTTCTTCGATATGACCGAATTTATACAAGGAACATGTTTATTAATGTGTCCAGACAAAGAACGTTTTATGTAAGTACATAATTGCACATATACACCGATATGAAAGATAATTTCTTTTTATTATGTTTTTGAATGATGTTACAATCATAATCACAATTAAAATTAAAACAAATTTAATGAGAATTTTTCTAGAAATTATAAATACAAATATTTTTGTATTTGCATAAATATGAATTATAAATGAATTTATATAAATAAATATAAATAAATAATATTTGAATGAAATATTTTGAAACATATAATATTCATATATCAGATCTATAAACAATTATTTTATTTTTACATTACATATACATTACATTATAATAAAAATATTTCAAAAATTCATAACAACATATATAGCAGAGAGAGAGAAGGTTTATTACATAAATTTGAGATCGACGAAACTGCGAAAGGAACAAAATTGCCGAAAGCGGATCCAAAAAAAACTATAAAATGTTTTAGTCGTCCAGCAGCAGGATTAATAATGACCGATATGAAACAATTACGTCCGGCACCAGTGTTATTGTCAACGATTAAATATTTATTTACCAAGTATGCATACTAAATATGATTAAAATTGTACGAAATATATATTATAAATTTTAATACGTGCATGCTCATTTCAGGATAGCTACACGAACAGATGTGGATTGGATAATGATATATGATTTTATCTTTGATCGTTTGAGATCCATTAGGCAAGATGCTGCGATTCAAAGGATCGATGTTTCTATGAACATTCGATTACTAGAACCTATAGTTCGATTTTTGGTTTATTCCGCGCAAAGGTATAAAATTATATAAAATCGCAGTGTTAACATAATAAATGTAGAAAAATAATTACAGATTATGCGAACGAAGTATTTCTGAATTTAATGCTAAAATCAATGATCAACACCTCATCGAATGCATAACGCGTTTACTAATCTTATATGATGAATCCGAAGATTTTTCGGTTACCGAAAAAAGTATGAAAAAATTAACATTGAACAATGATCGTCAACAAATGGAGGCATTATACATTCTTTTGCATATGGGTAATACAGAATCCTTAATGAGAGCATTACAACTTCCTCTCTATTTACGGTATGCACACAAAATCAATCATTCATTATTAGAATGTTTCAGGATAGGTGGTACTAATAAAGAATGATATAAAGATGAAAAAAATATAATTAAAAAATAAAAATTTTTTCATTTTCGAATATGAAAAATACGAAAATGAAATTTGAAATTTTTTCAAATATTGAAAAAATTGACTAATTCCCAATTGGACAAGTTTTAGTCGTATTATTAAGAATTAAATAATTAATTTTTTTTTCGTTTCATTTTTAAACGTAAAATTATTTTTTGTCCACTTATACCACTCTTTAAATCCTACATATACCAATATATGTATCAATGATTCTTTTCATTATCATTTTTTGTAGGAAATCTCCAGATGTGCAATTATCAATAAAAATATCATTTGCTTGGTATTTAAAAAATTATGTGCGTGTTTGTCATTTAATTCAACAATTATCTCCGTTACTTATTTGTGCAGCCATGATTAGTATACAAAAATTAAGAAGGTATGCATATATGTTTGAATTTCGATTAATGAAATGAATTATGTATGATATAATATATTTAATTTTAATATATAACTAAAAAATGTTTCAGAATGGCATTGAAAATTATGAGTTCAGGATACAATAGTAAAATTTTCACTTTTCCAGGACTTAAATTGCAAGAATTTTATTATATAAAGAGATAGAAAAAATACAAGTAGATTGTGAGTTATTTGGACTTGTATTTACCAATCAGAATATTTTATTTCAAAAAGCTAATTTCAAAGATGAAATTAAATTGGTAAGTAATAGAACTTCATCAAGAATTAAATTTCAAAATATTGTTCAAAGCATAATTTTGAATGGTATGAAAAAGAAAAAACTTCTATGTTATTCTCTGTATTATTTCAGGCACATCCAGAAATGTACTACACGCATCATTATTTACACAGTCTTTTACCACAAATTTTACTTGAATCTATATATTGAGCATATAAAAAATACAATGCATTTAGATTCTTACATCTTTGTGATTTTTTTTTTACGTATTGATAGATATATATATATATAAGATGAAATGTTCAATAATAGATAATAAAGATATAGCTTATATTATTTCTTATTAGTATCTTGTTATTTGAATTATTTGATGAAAATTATATATGTAATCGTATTGAACTCTTAGAAATGGCTGGTTTTGTTATTTTGAATTGTAAAATTGAATTGTAAAATTTACTTGAATTTCATAAAAAAATAATATTTATTGTGAATCACTAGATGAACTACTCGAAGAGTCTGTTGACATAACTTCAACATCTTCCGTTTCTTGTTTATGGGTATTCATGACACCACTCCCTTGTCCACTCATAGACATATGAATTTCACCTGATGAATGCCATGCGAATTGATTTGCTTGTGATGCAGGTGGTTCTAAAATAATTATTATTTCATTATATGAAATGTAAAATTTAAGAATAGAGATACACGTACATAATTTTTATAAACATACCACCTACTGGATGTCCAGCTCTGTGCAAATCTGAGGATAATCCAGGATGAGTACCTGGCATCTGACCATTTAAAGGAAGATCACTTAATCGTCCAAGATATCCCAATCTCATTTCAATATCTGTGATAATAAGGATAATCATCATAGTTTGCAAAAAAATAAAAACATAAAAAGATTACCAGTGGGATAAGGTCTCCTAGGATCCCCTTGTTGCCAGGTAAGGGGAGCACATATGGCATTTGATGCGCTTATTCTATGTGCATATTTAATTAATTCTTCAGATGATACGGGTCTCTTATTAGCACGAGCAATAGATTGTAACTTTTGTTTAGCTTGATAAATTGCAGTTGCTAAAATTTGTTCTGCTTCCTTCAATTGTCGCTGTAATTGTTGAATATCTTGATCTTGTCTTTCAACTTCAGCTTTTAAAGCTTCCATTTTCAGGTTAATTTTTGCTTGTTCAGCTGCTCGTTTTAAAATTGTTTTCAATTCATTGTCTTTGGCAATTAACAGTTCTGTTAGTTGAGCATATTCTTCATTCGACAGTTTCAACGGTTTTTGAGCTATCGTATTTTCTATCATTTCTCTAAGATAATAAGATTAAATGAAAGAACAAAATTAAAAAATTAATAATTTAAGCATGCCAATCTTATATTTATAATTTATTTGAACCGTACTTTGCTATCAATTCAATATCATCGACGATAGATAATAGAACTTCTCTTGTACTTTTACCGGATGATGCCATTCTACGCTCTCAAATCATACAAAAAATTACAATTAAAATTCTCCGCGCTAGAATCGTTAACTATATTAATATTGTATAAACATTGTGGTAATTGGATTCAGTTAAGATAGCGATTTCCGCTAGATGGCACTGTTTCACATGAGAGTGCATTCTAACAAGTTTTTTAATCAATGAAAGATAGGTATATCTAGGGAAAACATAGAATCGCGCTTCATTTGATTTCAAAAATTTGTGAAAAACTTATTTTCATATATAATTTGAATTTTTTGTAATATAATGTTCTTGATAATTTTTGTGATTTTTATGATTTCGTGATTATATTCTTGTGAAATTTAATCCTTATAGAAAATATATATATTGTTATAAAATAAAATATTAATCAAAAGTAAAGTAAAAAACGTTACATTAGAAATAGAAATTTTAAATTTATTTTACAATAATACAAAATAATACAAAATAAGATTTGCTTTGGAATAGAAAAAAATATATTATAAAATATTACGATAAATAGAAAAATCGAAAATTATAAGCAAATATAGATAAGGAGAGTAAATAGAAGAAAGATAAAAATAAGATAAAAATTGGCTTTCAACGCCATCTCTTGAGTATTCTTGGAAAATTGTTTTTGATACTCGAAAGATGACGCTTAATCTATTACTTTACACTCTGTTATACTGCTTTCGAAGAGATGTCTTGAGCATTTGAGAGATGACGTTGAAAATCAATTCTTGTCTTTATTTTTAATTTTTGCTGTCCTTATCTATATTAGTTTTATTTACGGTATTCTAGAGATGGCGCTGATTCCACAATTTTTAACCTATCTCTATCCTTCTCTCATTATATGCTTTCCTTGTCTATATTTGTTCTACAAATTTTATAGACTTAGAAAAAACGGTCTTGACGGATTTTATTTATTTTATTATCTTCTTTTTACCTAATCTATTGATTAAAAATCATATCTATTAATATTATTTTATTAATATTGATTCTATTTAATTCAATTCAATTTTTATATATCGTAAGTATATGCATATATCTATTTTTATATATTTAAATTCTCATATGATCGTTGAAATACACGTATTTTATATATATATATATATACATAGAAACTTTTTTCTATATTTTTCGCAGGGATTACATATATGTATATATGCGTTAGATTTTTTAAATATCACAATATATCTGTCAGTTTATTCATTGTTTTGATGTTATCCAAAGATATCTTATTTTAATAAATATCCTTTTAAATAGTATAATATTAAGAACAGGCATACATATTAATAGAAAATTTGCAAATAAGATTATCTATGAACATATCACATGTGTTCAATTAGAACATAAAAATAAAATTGATTTCATTTGTGTGATTGGCCTAATTTGTTAATGTGATCAAATTATCTTGTTGAATCGATGTGTTAAGATTCTGCTGTAGAGTATTATTATCACGTGGAAAGGAAATGTGCGAGAAATGACATAAGATCGAAACACGAATCGTTTGTGAAACTACGAAAACGATGCAAGCACATCTGCCAATGTTATAATATTACTGATTTCAAGCGGAATGGAAAAATTTTGCAAAAGAGAGCCGATCAGAATTAATTGAAAAATTGGATTGAAAACAAAAATACATATTACGTACATATATATGTATAAATTCGTTTCGTTATAGTTTTTATCGAATATCGATAAAGTATAAAAGTATGTAAGAAAGTATGTATATATATATATAGATTCACAATGAATGAACGAATCCATTCAAATTCAATTCGCTTAAAGAACGTTTCTGTTTGATCATCATTACGTTTACACATTATGACATATGTGTATAAATTTGTACTTATAATACTATTCATAACGTTAATCTATCCTTTTTTTCGCGATTTTCTCGCAGGTGGATGTAAGATGTGAGAACGTTAGAAATGGTATTATTTTCGAGCAAATGAAGGAAGCAAAGACAGAATTTCATAGCGATACGGTAAGGAGGTCGTTGCTCGATCGTTTAGTCGTTTTAAGGCCGTCGTGAAACACATGCAAAAACATGCGAATTGTAACACGTAGACGGTTACCTGGCCCGATTGGTCGAGGAGGATCAGAGAGCGGAGGAATACACGATTTCCGTGTAATTGAAGCCGGGAATCGTTGAAAAATGCAAAAAATGTATTTTCGATGGTACGTAAAAATTTTTACACAATTGGAAGTGATTTTTTTTTTTATTTTTTCCTCGCCTGCGTTTACTCTATCTGGAAATTCGAGTACAGTTACAGGCTACGTGTTAGGCGAGGCTGCCGTGTTAAACGCAAGTGCAAGTGGGTTAATGGTGAAGTCCAGGTGAAAAAGAAAAAAGTACGAAAGTGAGCGATACGTAGATATATGCTGTACGTGCGTACGTATTTTACAGCACGGACAGATACTATGACAGTTGATGTTGACGAATGTCCCCTCCCGATCTTCGGGCAAACAACATCGAACGGATAGGTTTGGCTGCAGCTGCACCTGTACACCATTGGAGAGCGGTGCCTCCGGTATACATTTGGCCTCTCTTCCCTTGGACCACTGCCACACTTTCCTCTCTATACATACACGTATAGAACAACCAATGTATATCCACGCTTTTCAGTTCTCGTACGAAGAACCGAAGATGTACGAAACTGGAACATCGAGAGGGATTTCGTCGAATCTAGGAGAGCTAGTAGTGATAGACCCGGCATCGAGATAAAATTAATTTATATAATTATCATGCTTAATCGACCAACATACGTTAGTAACAGCTAATCTTTATACCACAAAGGCTCAATCACTAATTAAATCGCGAAACGAAATCACGAATTAAAATATTTCTCATACTTTATTACGTTCTATTAACAGGCACTCGATGAGAATGACATCCTGATCGAGAATATATTTCCGTGTCAAGTTTTTACGAGGATTCTCAGGATTATTTTTACGTACATTACACTCGATTGGCTAAAAGGTTTGCGAGACTTACTGTAGCGGTGCTCGATTCGTCGATACGATCGATGGGATTAGAAAAAGTAAAAGACTTCCTCGAGATGAAGACGAAGAAGAATAAGAAGGAGAGGAGGAGAATGATGCGGAGGAGGAAGAGCGTGGCCTAGAAACAGTGGCTCGTCGCTGTGCTCTCCACCGTTTGGCTAGTCGTCACCGACGATCATGGTAAATGGCAAATGGCCCATGGAGAGGCACTCCGGTCCGCGCCTCCACTGGAAACGGGAGCACGCCACGTGAAAGTAGGAAGGGGAGGCTATAGCCGGACCGTCGTTGCTTCGTGCGGCTCAGTCGTTCGTAGACCTCGAAGGACGATAGAGGTCGAAGAGGGCACTTCCTCCTCTCCTTCCTCACGGCGCCTCACCACCTTCTCTCCCGTCTTTCTTCCTTCGGCATTAATCGCCTTCCTCTTCAACCACCACCGTGGCAAACAGCACGAGCGTCGCAATAAGATAATCGCCCGCCCGCCTTCGAGAAAATTGACTTGTAACGAGCCCGAGTTGATACACGATACGTGGTAAAAGGTCCGATCGCCCAACACCACGAAGGATGCAACGTCACATCTCGTTCCTCCTCGGGATCATCTTGCTGTGTTTCCTTCAAGGTCGGTATCGCTTTTAACCATTTGAACCAGAGTCGATCGATCTGGCGTTACCACTCTGTTGGTGAAAGTTGCAACAGGTCCGTTTTTCCCTCCCTCCCTCCCCTCCCCCTCCCTCAACTTTGTCTTCCTTTCTCTTCTTCTTCTTCTTTCCACGTCATCTTTCTCTTCTTCTTCTTCTTCTTTTTTCGACCAAGTCCGATTATATCCAGACCGTGAAATTAAACGACAATTCGTCCAACGCAAACTGTTTCCAATAGTTTTCACGGTCGGCTAATTGAGAAATAAACGAGCTCGACGCGATGCACGAACAGACAGACGGGTCCATTCATTACGCTGCTCGCGTAGAACCAGCCAGTCGCCGGTCAGATGGAGAGTAAAAGCACCGCTCTCACCGATTCTTCCACCGTTCCGATAAATGGTAATCGATAAATTATCGTGGCTCTCTTCCCTTCCGAAACGTTTCCTCCGATCGATCTTTTCACCGCTCTCAGTTATTATATTTGATAACTCGATTATTAAATTCCTCAAAAATTTTTCTTTTTCCCTCTCTTTAACACGTGCGCATCCAGTCGAATCCGCGATTGGTCGAGCGCATCGAGTGTTCGAAAGGACGGTCGGATCGATCCTGTCCCGAAGTGGGTCGCTCGACCAGAATTGCAAAAATTCGAACAGAACGTAACGTAACGTAGCGTAACAATTTCAAAAATATATATATATATATATAAATAAACGCGTGGCATATAAAATTCCCCTTCTCTCTCCCCCTTTCTTTTCTCTTCGTTTCGTTTCGTTTTGTTTTTAAGAAAAAAAGGAAATCCTTCCGGGACGATACCGATGCTCCGTAACGGACATTCTTTTTCTCGGCAAACGGCTTTGGCTGTGGAGCGCCCATTGAATTCTCGACAGGGAGCCGGTATCTCCTCTATGGATCCCTAAGTGCGATGCTTTTTCAACCCGGAGGGGGGAAAAAAAGGAAGAGAGAGAGAGAGAGAGAAAAGAACCAATGGTTTTTCGTTTTAATCTCTCGTACGCTCGTGCAACCTCGTGCACCTCGAGCCGACTCGCACGAGGGAGGGGGAGCATTCTTCCTCTTCCTTTTTGGCTTTATCACTCTCCGAGTAATAAGTAGATACATTTTACGCTTTCCTTAGTCGAGGCGCAAAAACGAGCGGTTTTTAATTAATTTAACCTCATTTATCGGGTGAAAACGCGAACGAAAGGAGAGAGAGAGAGAGAAGAAAAAAAAAATTGATCGATTTCTTCGAGACTTCTTTATTTCATATTTTAATTTGTTCCGAGTTTGTACGCGTATAAAGATGCGTAGATTGATTCGATTATTACATGGTGTTATGGGCGAGGTAGTATGAAGAGGGGCGGTCGAACTCGTTCCAACTCGTAAAATTCGATCGAGAGCCAAGCTTTCGAAAAACTAGGTTGCGTAAAGAATGGTAAACCACGGGACGGCTTTCCTCTTTGATTTTTTTTATCGTGTAAACGACGTTGAATAATTATATACGCGAGTACAGGTGTAATTACAGGTTTATAAGGGGCTACGTCTTTAAGGAACTTTTAACGACACGTTTTCTTTTTTTTTTTTCTTTTTTTTCTTTTCCAACAAAATTGCGTTGTGTGACGAAAGATCGAGTCAATTTATCGTTACTTCCCTTTTTTCCCCCTTCTTCTTTTTTCTCCACAGACACGAACGTTCGTAAAATCGACTTTAAAATAGAGCAGAGAATAACATTCTTCCCTTCTCTCCCCTTCCCTCTCCCCCCACATATCGAGAGTAATCACGCCTTTCTCCGTTCCTTTACCCGATTATACTTCTTCTTCCTCTTCCTTTTTCTTTCTTTTTCACGCTCGTTTATCGTGTAATTATCGAAACTCGTGTTTAACCGAGTAAAATATAATCATCAAAAAAAAAAAAAAAGAAAAACGTTGTGGTTTCGCTTCATTGACTTTCCAATCGGGCCCGAATCATCGTGACCCGATTCTTTCTCCATTGTACGTCTCTCGTAAGAGAGTATTACGGATTAAATTGACATTCCCGCATAGCTATCGGCGTTAATGATGTTACTCAACAGAGTTAAGAGGAAAGAAAAAGGAAGATATATATATATATATACATATTATATATGCATACGATGTTCACTGAGTTGTATTCCACAACTCTGCCGTTCCATCGACTATGAAGCGTGTTTTCACGGTTGAAAAGACTTGGAGTTTAGCCGAGTGGAAAAAGGGCACGACGCTTCTCGAGTCGATTTCGAATTTATTAATACGCGAATTAATACACCGACCACCTGATGATTGTGAAACTTTCTTCGGACGAGTTCGGTTACTTATTTACTTATTTTGTTCGAGCTAGTTCCTTTCTCGTCCATGATTTATTATTATTCCGTCGATTTGATCGTTTGCAACGCGATTATACAAAATTTGATTTCTACAAAAATTAATCATCCTTACAAAATATCGTGCACGAGTATCGAATCAATCTTCTTCTCCTTCTTTTTTCCTTCCCCCCTCTCACGATCTCGAGTTAAATTCGATTTAAATCTCATTGGACGTTCGAGGGGAATCTTTTTCTCGCGGGGAGAAAGAGGAGTAAAAAATTTTTGCGCCGCACGAGTCCTTTGACTCGAGCATCGTCGTATTCCTCTCTCTCTCTCTCTCTTTCTTCCTTCCTTCCTTCCTTCCTTCTTTCTTTCTTTCTTTCGAGATCGAACAGCTCGTTACCGTTACTCGAAAATGCTTAGAAAATATTTGTACGGCCTGGTTTTGTGACACCGAAACCGAGCAATCCTTGCATTTTTCTTTTTTTTTTATCTTTCGATCGATTTCCTTTCGAGTCCCTTCCTCTCGAGTTTTAATCGAATCGTAAAAAAAGAAAAAAGAAGAAAGAAAGTTTACTTGTAAATAATCACGGACAAATTACACGCGTCGCAAAAGCGTTAAACGGTGAAAAAATAATGTTGATGATACGACCGATTCCGGTCGCGTAAAACTAGCGTATAGTTGTAACTCTGCCTGCAAAAGTCGAACAGACTGTTAAACAAACATCGATGGAGAGAATAAGTACGATTTTATGGCAAGTGGAAAGGTGTACCAGCCAACGGGGATCAGGGGACCATTGATCCTCCATTGATCGGAAGAATCCTCGATCGAATACCCCCCTCCTCTTCTTCCTGAAACAAATTATTCGTCGAAGAACGAGGATAAAAGAAAAAAGAAAAAGAAAAAAAGAAACCGCGAATCGAGTCACGTTTCGTTAATTTCTCTCCCTCCAAATCCTTTTTCCTTCCGATTTCCTTCTCCCGCTTTCCTCTCCTCCTTCGCCTCTTCTTCGTCGAACCTCCTCCCCTCCCCTCAGCTCCCCAACTGGCTGGCACGCTCGCTCGGGAGAAACACGCCGGATTAAAACACTTTCGCGGCCGTGAATCCGCGGCCTTTCACTGGAAATTAGATTAAACATCGCACGAGCACGAGGCCGATAAATATAATACGTGTATCGATGCTGCTTTTATTCTTATTTATTTATTTATTTTATTTTTTTTTTTCCGTTAGAGAGCGCGTAATACGTTCGTACAACGAGGCCTGGTGCCGGGTTTAATGGAACGTGTCGGGGAATCTGGTACATCTGCCTCCTTCGATCGCTCTTCTTTTCTTACTTGCTCATTTATTTGTTTACGACGAGAAAAAGTGCTCGTCGTCTCTTCTAACGTTGCGATATTACACGTTTCTCTGTAAGCCAGCCTCTTCCTTCTTTCTTTTTTTTTCAAAGGGATTCGAAAATAACGGATAAGATTAAGAATATAATTAAGGGATCGTGTATGTAATCTGAACTACATTTGGTTGAACTACATTGCGATAAGTGAGTTTTAGTTTTCGAGTCGTTAACGAGTCCTTCTTGACAGCAACCGATCTCTATCCGATACATATTATGCGCTTGATCCAGTGATAATGATAATATCAATCGACGAAATATGAATTCAGCATCGTTGTTATATTATATTATATCTGAACGAAATTTTCTGATTTTTCACCATCGTGAAAATTTAATTAATACGACGATGTACAATTATCGTTACTCGATCGAGTAACGCGCTCATGCATTTATACAACGCGTGTTAATAGAAATAATAGTAAGCGCGAGAAGGAGTTCGAGTCAGCTTCGAGAATTCATTCTCAACAATTTTCGTTGAACCGCGAAAAATGAAAAGTCACCGTTTTAATCATCCGGGCGGATCGATCCTCCTCCCTCCTCCTCTTCCCTCGCTTTGCTCTCCTGTCAGGCGCGCAAGGTCGCCAGGATCGAGCGCGCCATCGATCAAAGTCGAGCAGAGGTTGCGAGCCAACCTTGGAACAAACGATCGTGGACCGCAAGCGATGAACCTTAGTTCCGCGGAACTGTAACTGTCCCCCTGGTGCCTCGATCGATAACCAGTCGCGGTTGTCCTTTCGGGAACGGCACCGTTACCGTGGCTCGATTCATCCGTCGATAGGGTACTTGACTTACTTCCCTGACCTCGAGACCCAGTGAACGTGATGCACTCTGATGAATTTCAAACGTGCATCATCCATTCTTGATTCTTTATCCTCGATCGACCCTCTCCGTCGGATCGATCGCGAGCACCAGCTTCGTTTTCTTCTTCTTCTTCTTCTTCATTCTTCTCTTTCTCAAGGAAATGAATTTTCGATTCGCTGATCGAGGATGAAAAGATGGAAAGAGGTTGTTCGGCGTTAAGAATTAGCATGGCGTTCCTTCACGATCACGTTTACCAAGTTTTTACAACCGACGATAGGTGGACACAACAGCTGCGTCGTTGTTGTGCGCGGTAACGATATGCGCATAAAAGATTTCGTGTATTCGTGGGAGGGGGAGGGAGGGGAGGGAGAAGGGAATAAAATGCTTGCCGAACGCGAGGTATTTACGCCTGTGCGGTAAAAGAAATGCTCCTCACGTTTTTTCGATGTTAGCCGACCTCGAACACCATCGTTAA